CTTCTCAAAACTCTGGATTATGATAGAGGGCTGTGAGACTTTGACCTGAGTGCAAAAATGGAGGCTCTAGACCCTTCCAGAGCTGAGATATCAAAATTCAAAATTTTGACCCAAAAAAAAAAAACGACAGTGTTACCCCTTTCGTTTTTTTCGTTTTCAGGCGAAAAAGTAAGTTTCTCCAATCTTCTCAAAACTCTGGATTCTGATAGAGGGCCTCTAAACTTTGACCTGAGTGCAAAAATGGAGGCTCTAGACCCTTCCAGAGCTGAGATATGGAATTTCAAAATTTCGACCCGAAAAAAAAACGACAGTGTTACCCCTTTCCTTTTTTTTTCATTTTCGGGCAAAAAATTAAGTTTCTCCAATCTTCTCAAAACTCTGGATTATGATAGAGGGCCACAAAACTTTGACCTGAGTGCAAAAATGGAGGCTCTAGACCCTTCCAGAGCTGAGATATCGAAATTCAAAATTTCGACCCGAAAAAAAAACAGTGTTACCCCTTTCGTTTTTTTTCGTTTTCGGGCAAAAAATTAAGTTTCTCCAATCTTCTCAAAACTCTGGATTATGATAGAGGGCTGTGAGACTTTGACCTGAGTGCAAAAATGAAGGCTTTAGACCCTTCCAGAGCTGAGATATCGAAATTCAAAATTTCGACCTGAAAAAAAAACGACAGTGTTACCCCTTTAGTTTTTTTTCGTTTTCGGCGAAAAATTAAGTTTCTCCAATCTTCTCAAAACTCTGGATTATGATAGAGGGCTGTGAGACTTTGACCTGAGTGCAAAAATGGAGGCTCTAGACCCTTCCAGAGCTGAGATATCGAAATTCAAAATTTCGACCCGAAAAAAAAAACGACAGTGTTACCCCTTTCGTTTTTTTTGTTTTCAGGCGAAAAAGTAAGTTTCTCCAATCTTCTCAAAACTCTGGATTCTGATAGAGGGCCACTAAACTTTGACCTGAGTGCAAAAATGGAGGCTCTAGACCCTTCCAGAGCTGAGATATCGAAATTCAAAATTTCGACCCGAAAAAAAAAACGACAGTGTTACCCCTTTCGTTTTTTTTCATTTTCGGGCGAAAAATTAAGTTTCTCCAATCTTCTCAAAACTCTGGATTATGATAGAGGGCTGTGAGACTTTGACCTGAGTGCAAAAATGGAGGCTCTAGACTCTTCCAGAGCTGAGATATCGAAATTCAAAATTTCGACCCAAAAAAAAAAACGACAGTGTTACCCCTTTCGTTTTTTTTTCATTTTCGGGCGAAAAATTAAGTTTCTCCAATCTTCTCAAAACTCTGGATTATGATAGAGGGCCACAAAACTTTGACCCGAGTGCAAAAATGGAGGCTCTAGACCCTTCCAGAGCTGAGATATCGAAATTCAAAATTGGGACCCGAAAAAAAAAAACGACAGTGAAAAAACGACCCTTTCGTTTTTTTTCATTTTCGGGCGAAAAATTAAGTTTCTCCAATCTTCTCAAAACTCTGGATTATGATAGAGGGCCACAAAACTTTGACCTGATTGCAAAAATGGAGGCTCTAGACCCTTCCAGAGCTGAGATATCGAAATTCAAAATTTCGACCCAAAAAAAAAAAAACGACAGTGTTACCCCTTTCGTTTTTTTTTCATTTTCGGGCGAAAAATGAAGTTTCTCCAATCTTCTCAAAACTCTGGATTATGATAGAGGGCTGTGAGACTTAGATCTGAGTGCAAAAATGGAGGCTCTAGACCCTTCCAGAGCTGAGATATCGAGATCCCACATAGCATTTATGCCATTATAAATATCTCAATATCTCAGGTCTGGAAGGGTCTAGAACCTCCATTTTTGCACTCAGATCTAAGTCTAAAGGCCCTCTAGCAGACTCCAGAGTTTCAAGAGGATTGGAGAAACTTATTTTTTCGCACAAAAAAAAAACAAAAAACAAAAAAACGAAAGGGGTACCACTGTCGTTTTTTTTTAGGGTCGAAATTTTGAGTTGCTCTGATCTTCTTGAAACTCTGGATTCTGATAGAGGGCCATGAGTCTTAGACCTGAGTGCAAAAACATTATAAATATCTCCACATCTCAGCTCTGTAAGGGTCTAGAGCCTTGATTTTTGCACTCAGGTCTAAGTCTCATGGCCCTCTATCAGAATCCAGAGTTTCAAGAAGATTGGAGAAACTTATTTTTTCACACAAAAAACAATTTAACGAAAGGGGTACCACTGTCGTTTTTTGGGAGGGTTTTTTTGGGTCGAAATTTTGGGTTACTCTGATCTTCTTGAAATCTGGATTCTGATAGAGGGCCATGAGACTTAGAGCTGAGTGCAAAAATGGAGGCTCTAGACCCTTCCAGAGCTGCAGTGGTGGAATGTAACGAAGTACAAATACTTCGTTACTTTACTTAAGTACATTTTTCACGTATCTTTACTTATGTACAATAAATAGTGCATACTTTTTACTTTTACTTCGTTACATTTTGCAGCAATTATTATACTTTCTACTCCACTACATTTCTACAACTTCTGTTACATTTTCGTTACATTTCCTGATCAGTTTTTCCCCTGCCAAAACGTCATCTGACCGTCCGTTCGTTGCATGTTTGTCTCACCAGTGACGTTTGGTTGCCATAGATACAGTATATCAACCCGGTCACACTAAATGCGTCTCGCACGCAGTGTGTTTATCATGCAACTCATACGCGAAAATTTGTTTTTACGTGCATAGGAAACGCACCGTGTGTAATATATGTTTGGTTTGTTTAGGATTATGGCAAGCCAAGAGGTTCAGAATTACACCATAAATGAATCGTGTTTACTGCCAAACATAGTTATTAACATATAGTAAGGATAAGCATGATATTGCCTAATTGCAAGCTTGTTTCAGAAATGGTGACATTTTTTTCCATCATTATTGAACATCATTATGAGTAGGCTATTAGGTTGAATGAGTTAGAATTAAATGTTTTATTAATCATTAGAAAATAGACATTAAGATAATAAATTGTTATGCAAGTACTTTTACTTTTAATACTTAAAGTACATTTAAAATAAAGTACTTTTTACTTTTTACTTAAGTATGGTCGTCAAGTCATTGTGTTACTTCTACTTTTACTAAAGTAAATATTTATCTGGTTATTTGTACTTTTACTTAAGTACTAAGATTCAGTACTTCCTCCACCACTGCAGAGCTGAGATATTGAGATCCCACGTAGCATTTATGCCATGACAAATATCTCAATATCTCAGGTCTGGAAGGGTCTAGAGCCTCCATTTTTGCACTCAGGTCTAAGTCTCATGGCCCCCTATCAGAATCCAGAGTTTCAAGATCAGAGAAACTCAAAATTTCGACACGAAAAAACCGACAAGGGGTACCGCTGTCGACTTTTTCGGTGCAAAAAAAAGTTTCTCTGATCAGAAGTTTTATTATTTGTTGTTCAAACGTGTGTGTTGCATATTTTAATATATACATAGCCTATTTAATATTGTCTATTTAGGCTATAGCATTGATTACTGGAGGGGGAAATACCCCACCGGCAACTTGCTTAGCTTGGTTATGTTTAAAAAAAAAAAAAAATCTACATGGAACCCCATTAAGTTTTATTTATATATTTATTTATTTTTTTAACTTAACTTCTTTTGAAGATGTAAATTCAGTCAATCTGTTGGAAGAGATTTGTTCCATGTAAAATGTAAATGCATGGTAATTTTAATACCATGTTTATTCGGGATTTGAAACAGTGTCATCAAAATAATCGAACCTAAGTTTTACCACTCGACCACAACTTTTCTCACTGAGAAAAGCCCAGAAGTTCGGTTGTTAAGCAGTCAGTGTGTGCAAGCGAGAGAGAAGCGGTCGGGTCTTCAGTCTTCTCATTCCTCATTGGAGTCATTGAAAGCACCCAATTTACTTTCACTGACTGCGAGATAGGCCTTTTTTAAACTTTTGATTAATAATATGTTCTGCTATAAATGTTTATATTATATTTAAAGCCATATTCTATTTAAAATGTAGGCTACTTTTATATAATTACGTTTTGCTTTCGCTAAATGTCCCTTTGCGCCACCTGGTGGTCATTTCGCGACTGATTTTTAAAATTCGGCTGGTTTATTTTTGCCGCGGTGGATTTACCGCAACACTTGCCACGGCGGTAAGTGGCATTCTGGTTGTCCACCTACTGTATATATGTGTATATATATATATATATATATATATATATCAATTATATTATATTTATACTCTGGAATTATACAAATTAATAAAATCATTTATATATATTTATATATACACATTTATTTATTGTATATGCATGTATAATTAAATTATTTCATAAATTATACAGGCATGTAATGTTAAGCATAGTAGTAGAAAATCAGAGAAGTGGAAACAGCCTTGAACTAGATTAAAAGACTGAATGGCTGCCAGATTTGACCCGGGTTAGCAGTGCCTGCACCTTTGAAACAGGTCAAATCAACAGAACATTAACATTGCTTCTGCAGCTGTAAAAAGAGAAAAAAAAAAGCCCACAATATTATCTTCGATTTCAGACAATCCGGTAAATGACAGAGCTCAGTTTATCTCAACCTTCAGCTTAAAATGAAACGTGGAATAGACACGTAGGGGAATTTACAAGCCACATTACAGTTAGAGAGGTAGAAATACCATGCATTATAGTTTATAACATTTACCATGAAATCAATGTGAAGACATACTACAGAGCCCCTGAAGGGGAAAAAAAAAATCGATTTTCAATGCTTTTGCTCACAAAACATTTGCTTTCAAAAACATTTTTCCAGGGAACGCAAATGTTTCTCGAGTGAATGCAAAGTTTCTTGGGGGAATTCAAAAGTTTCGTGAGGGAAAAGTTTCTCAGGGGACAAAAGCATTGACAATTTTTTTTTTTTTATCACCGTGTCCCTTTAAGGCCTCCGTAAAATCCAAAACCATTTGACACACAAGATTTTCTATTTTAGTTTTTGCATTTATGCCAAAACATTTTGAGATTATCTGGATAAAACGACAACACACCTGAATTCCATTGATCAGTTTATTTTGAATGAAGTTATACGAATTGCAAAGTCTCATGGTGAGCAGGAACCAGACAGTAAATGTTCCTCATCAATAAAAAAAGAACTGCCCCTACAAAAGAGGAAGGGTAATTTATAACAATAACAATAATCATAATGTTATCACAAACCTATAGACCCACAGCGGCCTGAAAAGTGTGAGTGGGGAGGCGTCCAGAAAAAAGAAAAGAAAATGGAAAAAGTCTGAAGTCTTACTCCAAGTGGAGCTCGTTCCTACAGAGCTGATCCAGACGTCAGAGTCAGGCTGACTTCAGATCAGCCAGCGGTAGGGAAGAGCTGTCATCTGATATGTTAGCAGCAGGCCGATTATAAACAATAGATATTGCACCAAGTAACTGAGTGCTTTAAAAAAAAAAAAAAAAAAAATAGATAATCACATTCAAGTTCACAAAAAAAAAATTAAAACAGGTGACATGACCCAAGTGTGTGATCAATAAAGTGCCCTTATAGGTACAGTGGTGTTAGAAGAAACAAGATAGAATGAAAGAAAGACAGAAAGAAAGAAACGTTTACGTCCTGAAAGTCTACTAGACTTGCAGTGTTGAATCACAGCGCTTTTAAGATAGCTACACTCCGTGTCGCTCTTTAATACTTCCAACAGATTTAACACGTACAGTAAAAGAGTCCAACCGCGTCTTTCCCAAAAACAAACTCATTTACAGCATTATGAACAGGTTTAATCATAATTAAGATAAGAACAATACTTATTACAATTGAAGAAAACCCTCTGTGACACGCTCGTTTACATGTCCAACGCATGTCCGTAACGATTTTTTCAATCTTTGCTCTCAACCAAGAAGGAGAATAGCTTTATAATTACTACGTAATCATATTGAAACACAAGATACATGTTCATGCCAGTTTTCATAGCAATACAATAATCATGTTTGTTTGTTTGTTTTTTTGTGTGTTTTTTCTTTTACCCACGATGATATGGATATAGCCAGGCAATCGATGCATTTTCAATAACGTTGTTTAAAATAGTAAACCACATTGTTGGTACCAATATCCGTTTACTCGGTAAGAATGACAACAGTATCATAATAACAGCGATAATAATAAACTATTAAAAACAATTATCAACATCTCGTTGCTTCTTGGCGTTGCAAAAGAAGATAAAAAATAATCCTCGACGAAGGAAGGGGACACTTGGCGCGCTTTGCCGGATAAGGGAGGATGAGGGTGCGCCCTTCATCCTGGCTGTGTTTCCTAAGGTAATCTGGTGTTAAGACCTGATAACAGAGTCCATTGCTGCCTCTTCACTGAACTTTTATTATGTTAATGCAAAAATGGGATTGATTGCAGTGGTTTTTATGTTGGTTCAAGGCCACACCCACTCTGAGGCCACACCCACTGAGGCCTTCAAATACTGAGGTTTCGCTTACTGTCAATATAAAAGTCGCCATGGCCTCAGAGCTGGATTTAAAAATCAAACGTGTTGGGAGAGAACATGATTTGTGGGGCTGTTTGGCGTCAAAACTCGTTCATAGCCAATGTCGTTCCAGCAAGACAGATACATGCATATACCGTGTGCTGACATCACACACACATACATGCGACCGCTGAGTTCTGGCTGTACAATGGCAACTCGAGAGTGTGTATATGTGAGTATAGATGTGTGCGTGTTGTACATGTCTTTGCTCGTCGGTTGCATTGGCGTGAATTCTTTAGTCGACGCCTTCAAAGCCTTGGGCGTTCTCCACCGCCATCAGAAGCTTCTCTCGCAGGTCTTCAAACGACTCGTACGTCGGGAGGTCCAGACGATTAAAGCTGAGCGGGAAGAAAATGTATCAATCAAACAAATGAATGAAACCAGAACAGAGTTCTGCCATTTCAGAATATCACCAAAATGTGTTTGTTTTACGAAATGGAAACGAAGGGAATAAATATATATATTGATGTTCTTTATTATATAACATGGTCAAATCCCTCAAAGTCTTACCAGGTGTGAGCACGAGGGAGCTTTTCAGGTGTCCCCCACTGCTCGATAGTAAACAACTGCGGCCCATTAGAACCTGTGAAAGATCACATGACTCATCAAGGACCAATCAGGGAAGGAGCTATTCTATAAGTCTCAAAGGACAATGCTAAGTAGCTGTATTCATTAAACTGTCAAGATAAATTATACTACAATACTACTTCAACACCAGTGACATTTTCTGAAATATTGTTTTAATATTATACTATATTCATTTATTAGTTATGTTATGTTATGATATATTACCTGTTGTTGTATGTTTTATGTTATATGTTATGTGTTAAGTTATAACATCTACATATATAAATCATCTACCGTAGAGTTCAGCAAAGCCGTTCATTGGCACTCTGGATGTCCCGGTGACAAACTGCAAAAGTCTGATCCTCTTTTCAGCATCCATTAACAAAACAGCCTGGTGGAGATAAAGAGAGCCAATAACAATTATCTGTTTATGCTAGGGGCATTGAAAAGAGGTCTTACGCATTCAACAGTGGTTCTCCTACACGGTTGTTTCAACGTTTGTTTTTTAAAAAAAATAAATATCTTAATTTTTTCATTTAAATAAGCATCAGTGGAAAATAAAAACTCCACTTAAAGCTTTTTTAGTTAATGTTCACAGAAAAACAAAATGGTTGAGCACATTTTGAGTCACTATATTTTACTGAGAGGAGTACCTACTGTAACTTAACTCAAACTGATTGAGCCATCTCTATCATCTGGTTGAGGTGAACTGTTTTTGGTGAAATTTTGCAAGCTAAGCATAATTTTTGTCAAAATGATGTTATCTTGGTGCTATGAAAAAACTTGAGCATGTTTTTGAAAAATTATTAAAAATATAATTTGGCACATAACGGTTAACTGTCCCCTTTTTGTGAATGGACATTAGAATGCACTCACTCAGCAGAAAATTGCTGAAGTAAAACCAAATAATTTTTTTTAAAAAGTAAGAAAAAGTTATGGAAGTTTTAAATTTACATTAAATCAAATATACTGAACTAAATATTTTTTTCTTTTATGTAAAATATTTTTTTCCTATAAAATTGCTATAAAATCAACGCCATATATCCAACCAAGTTGTGTTCCAAATTTGAAGTTGATATCACAAAAATTCAAGTTCCCATGAGATTTTGTTTAGGCGTAATACCAAAAATGACATAAATTCCATTGAATTTAATTGTATGCATTCTGCTGTAACAAATTAATACATTTCGGTCCACATACCACTTCTGTTACAAAATATGGAACATTGAGACCTTTCTGACAATGTGTTTTTGTCAAGACTAGAAAAGGAAGGTTTTGATCATGAATTATGATGGGCAATGAAAAAGTATGGCAAAGTATGTGTATGAATTCCGGTACCATTTATTACCATTAAGTGACATCTCAACCATTTGGTAGAGACTGATATTTTAAAAATTATGGGATGTGTTGAAAAAAAAAATACATTGAGTGTGTTTTTTTTCTTGGTGCGGACTTCAGAGGGTTAAAATAAATCACATTACCCCAAAACATTTTATATCTAAATATATAAAACAATCTTTGTACATTTTTTTATATTTTGCCTTCGCAAATAGTATTTAGTGTTTATTTGTTTGCCAGCTGAGCAACTGCAACTGAAATAAATTGAAATAACATTTAGATAGAAAGAATGTAGAAAGAGCAAGTCTGGCTCCAGACTGCTGATAAGAAGTTCATAATGACTCTTTCATCAGAGCAAACACTCGATGAGCCTCACATCAAACAGACTTTGATCGGTAACTGCCCTGCGGTGTACTTGGCATGGGGTCACAAACACTCATGCACACAAAAGTTGACACACTTGACTTTTTCGTTATTTTTGAAATCTTTTGATCTAAAGGACTGTGTTTAAATGCCTGAAATTAATTTAGAAGAAAATATGCATTCATGCCTAAATATTTTTATACTTATTATTAAAAAAAAAAGTATGCATTAGTTTGAGCAGCCAACAAGTGTCAGAACTCCTTCAATACTGATTAAAAGGCATCCCAGGATACACTTCTTTAAGTTAAAGGCACACTATGTAACTTGTTTTGTTCATAATTCAATCACTACATTATTAATCCTTTTCCAAAACGTGTTTTTGTCTTACCCTGATTCTCTATGGTAAGCCTATTGTGAGTGTGTATATTTTATACCAGTCAGGATTGTTTTCACTGGAAATTGCGCACGTCACTAGTCATATCGATTGGTAATACAGAAAAGTTGCTCCAGCTACTCTGATGTATGTAGATAAGTTGTCACAACGAGCGAGAAAGGTTGACATGGAGGGAAAAAACAGGGAAGGCCAAACAGAAGAGTATGCTGGCAAAAAGAGCTCGCGACAGAGCTCGTAATAAAACAACTATCAACATTGGCTTGGCTTTTCAGAGATGGCGATGGCTGAGGAAATTGAAATAAAGTAAAAGTGTATAGTAAAATGTATGTAAAATATAGTTAAATAGTGTTCTTTGAAGATGAAATATAAGATCGTTTTAATTAGTTAAACATTTTTCAGTGACTACATTTGTCTTCTTTCATAGTTCAGATGTCTTTAAAATTGTTTAAAATGTAGAAATAGTAATAATAAAGAATTACAAGTAGGTGTAACCAAACTTATATTGCACACACACAGAGCCAGTTTGTTCTACATACCTTCCAGAACCACTGGATCACAGGGTGATTAGGACAGTAGCCGTTCTTATAAACCGTGTGCTGCCTCCAATCATTGACATCCACGTCTCCCAGACCACACATCAGCAGCTGGAGACAGACAACACCGCACATTAAACAAACTAACAAACACCAACCCACATCTTTACCTTTATTATCCTCTAGATAATGATATATAGAGATTTTTTTTTTGACTATACAAAATATAAGTACTTTATCTTATTTGTTTATTTTATTTATTTGGAATTAGAAATAATATTCATAAAATATAAATCAGGCATTAGTACAAAAACAGCTTCACATTTGTCAAATCACGCAGAGGATACACTGCGGAATAAATAGTAAAGCAGCAGAACCTCTACTGGCTGACACATTTATAGCATGGTATATAATGCAATGCCTGTCTTTATTAGTTTTTTTTATTATTTGCCACTATGACGGGCATACATTCAGCTTTACCCCACTATGCACACAACAGCCTGGACATTGGACACATTATCCTGTGCTCATGTGAGAAGAGCTGGTTCATTCAACAAAACAAGAATTTGTCTCTTTTATGAAGTGTATTATTCTACGGAAGCCTTGGAAGCCAGTCTCCATGACAACGACAGACACTGAGTAATGGGTGTGTGGGAAGTTGTTACCTCCAGTTCATTTTCGTCAAAAATCTTTATCAAGTCGATGGGAATGAGCTCGGTGAATCCCTGTGAAACGGATATGAGAAACATGATCAAACCATTGCATGTCATTATAGCACGTTGGTATGCAAGTATTATGAATAATGTAACTTCTGCTACCACCTAGTGGCATTACTTGAAATTACAGATAACTTTTGACTGTGCAAGGAATTTGATCACGTACTTCCAAAAAGGCGTTCATCTGTTTCTGCACTCTGTTCACAAACCGCCACTGAATTACCAGGCTGTGCAGAGCCAAAAGAAAAGACATTGTTAGTATAAGAAGTCATTTGTAAGATTTTACATACAGGGCAAAAAAGCAACTCACTCGATGTATTCTTTTTTGTTGTCATTGGTTACAACCATGTCTGATCCGCTTGGCTTCAAATCCACCTGATATGTCTATAAATAAATATAAAAAATGTATAAACAAATATGTTAAAAAAAACACTGACAAAAAATAGTACAATTACATATATGACTGAAATGAAATGAAATCTAAAATAAACACATTTACCTGTCCAAAGTTGTCCTCATCAATACAGAACCGCAAATCCAATTCTGTGGGGTCGTTTTCCAGAATCCACTTTAAAGAGTTGTAGTATTCACTGTCCTACATAGTGTACATGAACATAAATCATGAGAAAAAAGTATATATACTGTATTCATATTACTAATATTGTAATTAAGGCCTCTAAACACTATTTGGTAACTGTATTAAATATGAATTGTGCATAATAACCCAACTAACCCAAACCCTAATTCTAACCCTATAAGCAGTACATGTAATATTGTTCAGTAGTATTACTCCATTGTTAAAAAAAAATATTATTTTACAGTGTCTGTTACACATTACATGTAGTTACTAAAGCAATAATGCATAATTACATGCAATTAATCCTAAATCAAACCTAATCTAATCTAGCCCCAACCCTATAGTAAGTACTGTACATGTAGGTAATTAATATTACGCAGACCTTAAATGTACATTTAAACTAACAAGGACACTTAAAAAATAAAGCGTAACCCCATTATTCTCTTTAAACAATTACTATTATTAATATTACTCAGTATTTAAATGTATAATTATTACACTGTAATAAAGGTTACACTTTATTTTAAGGTGACTGCTACATTGTTCTCCAAGTATTGAGTAAAAAAAAAAAAAACTACATGTACTTACTAAGGTTGGGGCTAAATTAGATTAGGTTTAGTTTAGGATTAGTTGCACCTTAAAATAAAGTGTTACCAAATAAAGTGTTAGCCAACATTTTCAATGACAAATCTGTTTTATAAAGCTTTTGCATTGTGCCGCTATGGGTTCTCTCTTAAAATTGGTGTACATGTGTGTTAACGCACCACTGACTCCATATCATTCAGGGTGATCTGTTTGCCCAGCATCATTTTATAGAACGGTCGAATAAAGAAACCTGGAAAACAAACAAGAACAACACATTTCAGTTTTCAACCGGGGAAAGAATCAAACTAAACCCACAAAAAATAGCTGATACCATGATAGTTATCAAAAGGGAAGAATAAAAAGAAAGAAAACATTGGTAACACTATTTTACAGTGTCATTGTTGCATATGGTACATGTAGTTAATATAATAATAACTAATACAAATTATGCATAATTACAGTACATGCAACCCAAACCCTAATCCTAACCCTATAGGAAGTACATTTAGATACCTTAAAATAAAGTATAACCAAAACATCACATGAAAAGGATTCTTATGGGAACTTGAAGCTCTTACGTACCATCCAACAGCTTGCCGTGATACACAGCCATTCCAGCCACCCGACCAATGAACTTGAAGTATGAGAGGTGATCCTCATTGCACAGCCCGGAGTTTGGATTGATCTGAAGGGTGTAGTTATCTCTGCAGAAAGACAGATGGGAGACGGTAAATGAATGAATTATGATGCCAGCTCTGCTATGTCCCGTAATGAGTGTCAGTGGGAGAGATCTAACAAGATAGACAGACAGATGTGCTGGTATATGGTATACGATATATAATGATAATGAACATGCATGATATTGCAATCGTGAATACTTCAAAATATTGTGAATAGTTATTTATCACAAATTATTCTGATTTGTTTGAATGCATTTTAAGAATCATTTTCCCATCAACTGAATCATTTTCCCATCAACCCATCAACTGCACTTTAATCTGTAAACATTTTACATTTTTACTTTTTTGTATCTCTGTATCACAGATAGATAGATAGATAGAGAGATAGAGAGATAGATAGATAGATAGATAGATAGATAGATCAAATTTGCCAATGTAGTGCATACTTGACAATACAAAACTGTAGTGCATAAACACATGTGATACTTACGTGGCTGAGTACTCAAACAGCCCATAATAAGGGTTAAACATCTCCTTGGAGAGCAGGAAGAACCATTCTCTGGCCACGCCCCCATAGTCCAATCCTTTCTCCGATTCAAACTCGATCCAGAGACGGGCCTTCAGGCTGTCGGGTCGCTTCAGGGACATGATCCGTCTGTATGACTCCTCAAAGATGTTATTCCTGTGCAGCTTCATCTCAAAACGATTCGGAATATCTGCCTGCGGGAGAGAACGCGAAAAAACAGGAATTCATGATTGAAAATAAAATAATAAATTGAAGCTCACTCATGGTTAGTTAACAGCTTTGACATCGCACTAACATCTCAACTTAATATAAATGGCTGAAACGATCACAGTCCTGTAAACGGCTGTTTCAGTCGTGTGAAGAACAATTTAAAACCCAATAGAAAAAAACCTCTTCACTCCTTGACTAAGATTTCACACCGAATAAATGAGAGTGTCTAGGAATACAGTGTGTGACAGGAAAGAGCTTACAGTCAATGTCTCTGAAAACGCTTCGTTTCTTACCGGTTTCTTTAGCTTCTTTCTGAAGTAGTCATACTTCTGCTTGAACTCTCTAGAATACGGCACCGCCTAAGAGAAGACAAGCAAATAATCACATACATTTAATATCAGTGTAACAACATATCACTGGATGAGCTAGAAACCAAATATGAGTTGGGAACAGAAATGTGATTTATATTTCGATAAATCTCACAATATATGTCAAGAACAGAGTCTGGACCAGTCATATTTCATATCATTAAGAAAATAAATAAATAAATAAATAAATAAAACACATTTTCTTATTTCCTTTTATATTATTAACAACAATTATTATTTAATATTTAAGTGTAGAGTAAACCAAATTTGTATTTGTTGGAGGGCTTCTAATTAAATTAAATATGATTTATATTTAAAACGAACAATATACAATATTGCAGTAATGAGTTACAGACAAAAAACATTTAATAATCATTGATATGTATTATTTAATAATAATAATGAAACAATAGCATTCTGAATATATGCAAATAAAATTATATTAATAATATTAATATCACCAATCAATATCAATACATGTATGCGTATTTGTGTGTGTGTGTGTGTGTAATTTGTATATATATATATATATCATTTATTTAATTTATTTTTTGCAATTGGGTTTTGTCCCAAGTGGAAAGAGAGACTAAAAATCACACACACACACATATATATATATATATATATATATATATACACACATATATACATATATATATATATATATATATATATATATATATATATATACATATATACTATATATATATATATATATATATATATATATATATATATATATATATACACACATATATATATATATATATATATATATATACACATATATACTATATATATATATATATATATATATGTGTGTGTGTGTGTGTATGTGTGATTTTTATCTCTCTCTTTCCAATTGGGGCAAAACCCAATTGCAACAACAACAAAAAAAAAGTGCTAGAGGAAACCAGAAACAGAAATAAGAGGAAAATTGTGACCGAATAAAAGCACACTCACAGGTCCAGTTATGGCAGGACTCTGGAGGCGGGGGTCTTCCCACTGTGTTTTTTTGGTGTCTGAGGGGGAGAAGAGCAACTTCATTAGCTCACTTCGCTATTTTCAGTGCTATTTGATACAGATTATATTTACACTACATAATGCAAACACCAGAGGTCGTTTGTGAATGCGTGTAGCTGACAAACAGAAGAGGTGTGTATCGACCGGGGCAGCAGATTCAGCAGTGGTCAAAACACACCTGTGTTTGTGGAGTACGACAGCCACTGAAGGCATGTCCGAGTTTATTGATGCATGAGTAAAATGATCTCACAACTTGTGTTACCTTAAACATCTAAATAAGTATTGATCACACAGCAACAAACTTGAGCATATCTGTGACTGAAACCTGCTTTACTGTGTGTATAACTTAAGGCAGGTGGAATTATTATTGCTCTCAACAGTAGACGGCAAAATATGCTGCACTCCAAACAAAGTATGTGGTGATGTATAGATGTACAGATATTTAGAAAAAAATTATCTATCTATATAATATATATTTCTATTTAAAATACATGCTGTTCTTTTGAACTTTCTATTAATGAAAAAAATCCTGAAAAATATATCACAGTTTCCACAAAAATACTAAGCAACACATCTGTTTTTTAATAATGCTAATAAGAAGAAAGGTTTATTCATCAAAAGGATTGTGTGACACTAAATAATGGAGTAATGATGCTGAAAATTCAGCTTTGACATCAAAGAAATAAATTACATTTTAAAACCTCAAAAATAGAGCACTTTAAATTGTAATAACATTTCACAATATTACTGTTTCTACAATCAAATAAATTTAAAAATGAACACATAAAAAAAGCATTTATAATTTGTGTGTTTTTTCCCCCCAAGTTTTAAATTACTCTGAATACTTCAAGCCCCTGGACCTCAATTTAAATGCCCCTGTCAACAAAAGTGTGTCCTTACTGTGGTCAATGTAAAAGGTTCTTCCATCTGCGTGCACTCGTTCCTCCCACCCAGGCTGTGGAAATTCAGAGAGAAAAAAAAGATGTTAAAATAATCCAGATGGGACCACCAGGCCTGATAAACCACTCATTCACCAACACAATAACTGTAACAGATAATGTGATGGGAGAAAGGAACAGAAAGATATGAAGATTCCTCAGTTCAGTCAGTGTGGGAGAGCTTCCATGACAGGGTTCCACTGGCATGCAGAAGAGAGTTTGTTACACACTCTCGCTCTGACAAACACACACTCGCATTAATATACTGCCCCCTCTTTTGAGAACGGAGACCCCGAGGCCTGCAAACCCAAGTCAATACCAACATCACGGGCAACTGCCAGGCCTGACATAAATCACAGCCAGGGAGACACATCCAACATTTCATAACCCACAACATCAAGGGAAGCTGTTTGACGACCCACACATGGGATCCGGAGAGGGGACAAGACCTTCGTTCACGACTGAGAGACTGTGAGCCAGCACTGAAACAGGCGCGACACCATGGCTCTCGTGCTGAACGGCCAAAACTGGTATTGAATGAAGCACAGGATGGATGGATGGATGAATGAATGTGATGAATGGAAGGATATGGATGGATGAATGTGTTGGATATGGATGGATGCACGTGATGGATGGATGGATGGATGCACGTGATGGATGTATGGATGGATGAATGGATGGACGGACGCGATGGGGGGTGGGTGGGTGGATGCACGCGATGGATGGATGGATGAATGCACGCGATGGATGGATGGATGGATGGATGCACGGATGCACGCGATGAATGGATGGATGGATGCACGGATGCACGCGATGAATGGATGGATGCACGTCATGGATAGATGGATGGATGGATGGATGCACGCGATGAATGGATGGATGGATGGATGCACACGATGGATGGATGGATGGATGCACGCGATGGATGGATGATGGATGGATGCACGCGATGAATGGATGGATGGATGGATGGATGCACGCGATGAATGAATGGATGGATGGATGCACGCGATGGATGGATGGATGGATGCACGCGATGAATGGATGGATGGATGCACGCGATGAATGAATGGATGGATGGATGGATGCACGCGATGAATGGATGGATGGATGCACGCGATGAATGAATGGATGGATGGATGGATGCACGCGATGGATGAATGGATGGATGGATGGATGCACGCGATGGATGGATGGATGGATGCCCGCAATGAATGAATGGATGGATGGATGGATGCACGCGATAGATGGATGGATGGATGGATGCACGCGATGGATGGATGGATGAATGGATGCACGCAATGAATGGATGGATGGATGAATGGATGGATGGATGCACGCGATGGATGGATGGATGCACGCGATCGATGGATGGATGCACGCGATGGATGGATGGATGCACGCAATGGATGGATGGATGCACACGATGGATGCGATGGATGGATGGAAGCAGGCGATGGATTGATGGATGGATGCCATGATGGATTGATATGGATGGATGTACGCAATGGATAGATATACGCGATGGATGGGGTGAGATATGGATGGATGCACATGATGGATTTATGAATGGATACATGCAATGGATTAATGGATGCACATGATGGACGGATGGGTGGATGCATGTAATGGATGGATGGATGTACACGATGGAAGGATAGATAGATAGATAGTAGATAGATAGATGGATAGATGGATAGACATGATAGATAGATAGATAGATAGATAGATAGATAGATAGAGAGATAGAGAGATAGAGAGATGGATAGAGAGATGGATGGATGGTCAACACAACCACAAAGAGATAACGTGCAGAGAGAAATATAAAGAGCGAAAGATGGAGAAAAACAGTACACAGGAAGAATGGCATAGAGAGATGAACAGAGACAAATAGAAAACGGACAAACAGAGGTTCTGGAAGTAGAAATCACATTGAAAATCTCAAGGTCATGGATAGTAAGTTTAGCAACAATGTCTTTCAAAACACCTGCAGGAATTGTAGAGTGAATGTACTGTAGCTTTTACATTCTTAGCATATACAATCACTGCAATTTAAACCATAGGTTCGTATCTAATGGCTTGCAAATCAAAAATCTGTATTTTGTTTCAAATTAAGTTACCACTTATTAAATATTTGGCCCAATTTTTCAATCCATGTGTAAGATCAATAAGACTTTTCCTGCAGTTTCTGCATTTACAAACCAGTACATTTTCCTATTCAGACAATATTATTTGAGTAATTTTGCATACTGTTTGACCTACGCAGGTAAAATAAAATAACAATAAAAGTAAATATTCTGTGTTCATTTATTGGTACCAGTTAATGTGATTAATTATGTACATTTTTTAACCTTTGTCTTTTTTCCTTATTATCAAATATTTTTTTGACTCTTAAAAATGAGAGAGTGGAAGGGACTGAGAAAACAGACCAAAAAAAAAAGATCAGAACACGAAAAGCAAAGACTAACAAAGAAGACTGACAGAAAGAGTGAAAGAGGGCATAAAACAAAAGGGGAAAATAGGCACAGTCATCCATGCCAGCAATGATAAGAAGGGGTGGAGAGGTCGGTGGGCAGGCAGGTAAACACGCAGGCAGAGAGAGGACCGACCTCCTCTGGAAGATTCTGCCACAAACAGCATCGAGCGCAGAGCGCATCACGTTCCCCCACGCCACCGAAAGACCAGAGAGAAATTATACACACACACACACCACCAGCTTGTGAGACAGCAGCACTACAGTAAATGCAGAGGGTATCATTTAGATAGTGTTTAAAAAAGAAGAAAAATCATAACAAATTGTGTTAATATATCAATGTTGTTAATGTTAACTAAAACTAAAAACATTGTTTTTGTTTACTGAAAGCTGAAATGAAATAAAACAAATATTAGATAACCTTAAACGAAAACTAGTGATGTTGCTTTGACAATTAACTGAAAGAAGTTTTGGTTGAAGTACTACATTTACTGAAACATATGAAAAAAAAAAGCCAATTCAAAAATATTAATAATAACTATAATAGTATACAAATAATACTAAAATAACTGATGGACAAAGATGGAAAGAACAGTATATTTTAGATATTTGATATAATATTTGATATAAAAATCAATGTTTTGAAGCCACAGCAATGCATATTTTTGCATAAAATTAAATATTTTAAATTTCAAGGGTTTTCCAGGGTTAAAAATGTATTTAAAATTTTTTTGCATACATTTATAAATATAACCATTAATAAAATAAAAATATACATTTTTGTCTTCTCGTCAACAGGATTATTTATTATTTAAAATATTTAATATTTTCAAATATTTAAGACGTTTTATTTTTTGCACATTTGCAAAAGGTTCTTGTGAGAAGCCCGACTGAGGTGAAATAAGACTAGTGGTAAAAATGAGCAGTACGAATCATAATTTTGCCTCTCATATTTTATTTTCATTTTTATCCGCTTAATTTGAGAAACATTTCACGTATGTTGACACATGGGTTGCGTTTACACTGGCACAAAAAAAAAGTACATTTTTTTACTCACATCTGACACATCGGAATTTGTTGCACATGTGTAAACACAAAAATCCACGCAAGAACTGATTTTTTTCGCATCCGATCTGAACTACTTCCAAATGTTGTTTTAAATACATACACAGATACACATCCAATATCTGGAAGTATATAACCTGTGTATAAACACGTATATCCGATTCCCCTTTAAATTCCAAGCCAGCATAAGGCGAGGCCACAACGATAGCTTGTAAATGTTGTATTATGAAGCAGACGTGCCTGTATATGCTTGCACTCAAAACTCAGCTTTTCACCCTTTATAGTTAAGAGAATAGAAACTGGTTTTCAACCTCTGAACCGTGGTTCGCTATTGTACGCTACATTATTTTTTCAACAATGAGGTGATAACTTGGCTGTTGTGTACATAAACAAGCTTCACTAACACGCTGGCTGTAATTCTCTCTCTCGTTAATTCATTGGAATTAATTTAACAAAAATTTTTTTTAAACATACCATGTTACTTTATTTCAGAATTCTAGGTCTAATGAGCCATAGATAAAATAAACTAAAATTACAAAATTATAAAAATTATTTCCTCTGCAAAAATCCATGACAGCTTTTAACTTCCATGCTGGGAAATAATCACGCTACCAGTCACATTTTAGTGCGTCCATTAAAAACCCGACGATTAACCGTGTCACATAGTAAAGAATAATTTTTAGGACGCTAAAGATTTTACCTCTCATTGGTTTCATACGGATTGCATAAACAGAGAATATTTGTTTTGATATGAATGGCTTCATTTAAAAGTGGACATTTTAACCTTTCTAAAGACAGTGTGTGTGGCAAGTATTCGCTGAGTTTCGATTCATTTTTGTGACGCGCTTCAGAAAGAAGTTCACAGAGAGTGAGATGGCAGAAAACGCACCCTGTATATTTTCTCTATTTTACAAAAGCACAAAGTTTTGTCGTTATTGTGATTACACAAATAAAAGTAGACCCTTTACATTTTAGAATGATGTATTACAAAAACAAAACAAAAAAATCCAGCAAAACAAAGCGGCATGTTTGTCGACCCCAGAAGGTTAATGCAAATACAGATATCAGATACCAGTCTAGCATGTCTAACATGAATGTAAACAGGCGGGACAAAAAAATTAAATAAAATATAATATTATACTAATATGGTCAAAAATATCCCATCTGTGTATTTAAGACTTGCAGTGTAAACGCAGCCATGGAGTTTAGAAAGAAAAAAAAAAAAAAAACGTAACTCAGCTACACACGAAGTCACAGCAGCTGTTTCCCTTAGTAAATGCGTTGATTGGGTCTGATTCGAATCTTGCATATGAGATGTATTATGTTGCAGTTCCTTATAAAATTACCATCCAACTGGCAAACATTGCATTGACTTGCCAAAGGCAATTTTGGCACTTATCGAGGCCAGACTTTATATTAAGGCTGTTCTTAGACAAGTTGCATTCTAGGTAAACAAAAGAAATGATCTCACATGCATTGTTCTGTACATCAGTGTTTAATAACTAGGCTTGAGAATGCAGTTTAATAACAAAGAAATCCATGAAACACCCCAGCCAAATTCCTGTTGTTGCGTCATCGTTGCTGCTGTTTTATCAGTATTAATCCTATTTTTTGCTTTGCAGATTGAATTAGTTTCACGATTCTTGTGTGATATGGCTGTTGGTTTCATGATTGTGCATTGCTGTGTCACAAACAAGGACACATGTCGGGCGAGGCTGTTGAAAGAGCTCGGGATTGTGGGTAATACTGCTCAACGTCACTCCTTTTATACTCACAGGAAGTGGGCCGAGGTCACCAGGGTCTAGGGATGCTTTTGTCCTCATGTGAACGGGATACTTTAAGCGTGGATCTTCCTGAAAAGAGAGAAAGAGAAAAAAGAGAGGGGTTGACACATGCCCATATTTTTCCCAGAAGGTTTTATCCTCATTTAGCAGTAAATTGCATTCAATGTCTGCTGCCAAAATGCAGTTCTACAGACAATAAGTAATTTTGAAATGATTGTGGGGGTTTTTCCCATCTCCATGGGGAGATAGTGAAATTTAAGTCTTCTCGTGGACATTCTAAAACCACAAGCAGCATTTAATAAAATCACACTTTGTAAATCACCATGTATTTAAACAATTGTGAATAAAACAGACTAATGCCTGGAATAGAAAATCTATTTGTTTTCAATTTAAACCTTTCTAATTACAAAGAACCTCTATGGAGGACGCAATACATCGGACACAGACATGGACAAAGGCGAGTCTGTTCTGGGGAAATTAGGGCGCTGGAGAAAAGCTGCAGTTTGTCTGCCAGTCACCAGGGGGCACAGTGATTCTGAGAGGATCATCCATGCATCACCCAGGGCCTCTCTCCAGATACTGTGTGGGGCATTGAAGTGTGCAATTGTGAGCAAGACTGTGCGTGTGTGGGGGTAAATCTGTTTCCCAAATACCTTTCATGCATCTTAACGCAGGTTAATGAAAAAATAATCTAAATTTTAAACATATGATGAAACTGCAACCACTAAATATAATAACAAAATAATAATAATAATAACTTTGCTATTTGTATTAAGGACTGATTATTGACATACTATTACAGTTTTTAAATTTTGAGTTAAATTTTATTTTCTGTTTTTTTTTTCAATTTTTTTTTAAATATCGTTTAGTTGTTCCTGTTATTTTTATTAGTTATTTTTAAAATGTCTAAAAAGTTATTATAATGTTTTAGTTTATTTAGTTTAAGTTTTACTAGTATTTTAACTTTAAATAAAAATTAAAAATTATTTTATTTTGTCTAGTTGCAGTCAGCATTTCTAATTTTTGTTAAAGTAATGAAAATGTTTTTTTATGGTTTTAGTTTACAAAAATAACCCTAATGAAAAATTAATGTTTTGCCAATTATACACATTAAGCAATAAAAGTACAATAATAATTATTTTCAGGAAGTATGGTGTATGATACGGAAAACCTGAACTGCAGCGTAAAAATCAAATCTAGCATTCCGACTTCATTCTCGAAACATTCCGATTTCATTCTCGAAACATTTCGACTTCATTCTCGAAACATTCTGTTTTTATTCTCGAAAAATTCCGATTTTATTCTCGAAAAAATTCGACTTTATTTCATGATTCATTATGCATGGATAGTAACAACAACAGCAAAAATAATATAATTAATATAATATAAAATATAACAGTAGAATTATTATTAAATTATATACATTTTAAGTAATAAAAGTATAGTAATGATATGTGATAAGAATAATTAATAAAATAATATTCATTATTCATAAACAACAGCAATAATAATATAATAATAGAAATTATTATTAGCAAGCAGACAATGCAGGTGGATTATGTCATGAGAAGAATCAACCAGTCAAGCTACAGGTCAAACTGCTGATGCTATTTGTATCATAGTAAACAAATGCTTAGTGATGATTTATAAATAGATAATCACATCTGTGCATAAAGCATAGCTACGTCAGCAAATGAAACTAGCTCCGTTCCAAAACCTAAAGAGCTGTTGTGCTCCAGCAGCTAACTTGCAAAATATAGTGTGCTTATGACTACAACAGAGTTTGCAATTACTGTGAACAGAACATTTTAATTAGCTATTTTAGTGATTTTTTAAAAAAAATATTTATAGCCAAGATTTAATCTCTCTTCACTCAACGGCAGCTTGCATTTGTTTCTTCAGAGCTCATCACAATGCATTTTGGGATTGCCCTTACCGTGAAGAAAACAGTGGATGCATCTGAAATCGCATACTTCCCTACTATATATAGTAGGCAAAAAAAAAAAAAAAAAAAAAAACATGTGACAAAAGAATTAGGTCTAAATTCACAGTACTCATAAAGTGTGCACACAATGGACACTTTACCATCCCATGAGGCCACAAGTGAGGATTTGTGAATGGCCGTGAGGTGAAAACTGATGCTGGGAGGTTATATGACAGTGACAACATGATGAATGAGGATTAAATTAATAATACATACTGAATAGAACATACATTTTAGGACTCGCCAAATAAGTACTTATTCAAAATAAGTACACACTCAAGAGAGAATGCGATTTCAGATGCAGCCACTAATTTGCAACAGATTTTGTGATTGTTTGTCTTACCCATGTAGTGTGTCTGCTGTTGTGGTCAATGAAGAAAGGCCGTCCGTTGGGCGCTATTCTCATTTCCCATCCTGGGGGCAGGAAGCTCTGGTTTGCTTTATGCTGGGATTTAGGTGAGCTGTAGGGAGAAGGCTGGGGGGACTGTGGGTTGGAAAACGTGTCCTTTACGGCTCGCCGTATTTGGGCATTATTGGCTCCCTGCAACAGGAAACAGAGTCAACGGTTATCAGACTCCGTTATTTAGGTTTTACAGCTTTTTTGTGTAACGAATTAGAATTTTATTTATGCAAGAAAGACTTATACAAATGGGAAATGTCAAAAAATGTGAAAGACTTGACTAATGAGACGGCACGCTGTTTAATCCTGCAAAAATTTTAATTAGCGCACAACTCAGAGGATTTCACCTCCATTTCACCTCTGCTTTTCTCTTCCTCTTGCTTTCTTTCCCCACAAAACAAATGTTTCTTTTTCAACTCTTTAATTAAAATTCACATGGCCCTGTGTGACTGATCATTTAAACACAAAACCATATTTCTTTCTGTACACTTTCAAAACTTTGTGAAATGTTTACCCAATATTCCACAGATCATCTGACTTCAGATGTGGAAAATTGTCCACCTGTCATGTGATTAGTCCTAATTGCTTATCTGACGTATGAATTCTGGGTATTCTCTCCTTCTAAAAGCTAAACTAGCAAACAGGAAGAGAACAAGCAATATAACTGTGTTCCATACGTGTTAATAACTCTAGAACATAAACTACAATAAATCAGCACTGAGTTCAAAGTCTATCAAAGTTCAAAGAAATGTCATTTAAATGGGATATTTTCTTTTTCAAAAGCATATCACTTTACTGAAACTTTTATATTCTTCTTAACAGACATCTAGTAAAGAAAAAATAGAAACAGCATTTCCACAAGTCTACAGCATATATATATATATATATATATATATATATTATATTATATTATATAACAGCTAAAGTCATAAAACAAGCTGAGTCAGAAAGAAGCACTGGGATTTTAATCAATTTCACACCAGTCACCCCTATACCTTTTTCTTTTTTTTTAGCTACCATGTTTTTTGCACGGAAGTGTGTGGCTGTCATTAGCAATAATTGCTATGAGAGCAAACATACATAAGACATTTATTCCCCCCATCCCGACATCTGTAGACTATCTACAAGTGCTATTGTTCATTTCATTAGCAAAGTCATTCTTCACAGCGGAGACCATTAGCTCCGGCTGAGGCCCATTTTGACGGATACAATTGTTTGGAATTTTCAAAGCAAAATTTTGGATTAAATTACAAATAGGGTTTTATCTGGAGTATAAGATGTCTGTTGGTGTGGATTCATATTTTTGGATTCAGTTTGTAAGCATCATCACAAAGAATTAATTTTATAATATATAAAAATATTATAATATGTTTTATATATTATATTAGAATTATAGCATTATAACATATTATATCATACAATATTTTACACTGAACAAAATTATAAACGCAGCACTTTTGTTTTTGCCCCCATTTTTCATGAGCTTAACTCAAAGATCTAAAGCCGCCTTTTCCACTGCACACGACAAACGACAGCCGTCGGACCGGAAGTCATTCATTTCCAATGGAGAGTCATACGGGAGCTGCGGGGAGTTCCGATCATATGCGTATGTGGAAAATTCGGATCTGATTTGAGCTTTGGATCCGTTGAAATATCTGAACTTCTGCGGCTAGACCGTATGCGACCGGCCAAACCGGATGTGATGTATTCTTCTAACCAAAAGTATGAGCGCGAGGCTAGAATTACAAATATTTTAACTCTTTAATGTTTTTCTGTAAACGCTCTTTCTATAAAATGTCGTTTTATTATTAACTATGGCAGAAAAAATATTTTATAATTATTAAATCAATTTTTCTATTGATTAGCTCTATTTATTTGAGATGCATTGAGGGTCATTTGTTTTGTGTAGATATATTCATGCATGCATTACGTTCATTAAAATCATTAACTTTACCATTGTGAATATCCGAGGGTAAAAGTTGCTTCACGGCCAATTTCAAAGTTCCGTGCGACTGACACTAGGGGGCGAAATACGTCAATCGTATGGGAATGTCGTTTGCAGTGGAAAGGCGGCTTAAGACTTTTTCTACGTACAAAAAAGGGCTATTTCTCTCAAATATTGTTCACAAATATGTCTAAATCTGTTTTAGTGAGCACTTCTCCTTTGCTTAGATAATCCACCCACCTCACAGGTGTGGCATATATAGAGATGCTGATTAGACAGCATGATTATTGCACAGGTGTGCCTTAGGCTGGCCACAATAAAAGGCCAGTGATCAAAATTATTTTCAGTGGTAATTAGCAACAGGCCACATATACTGTTAATAGAGATGAAATTGACATTTAATATTTTTTATTATCATTTTTCCAAAATATGTAAAAAAAAAAAAAAATATATATATATATATATATATATATATACACTCACCGGCCACTTTATTAGGTACACCTGTCCAACTGCTCGTTAACACTTAATTTCTAAGCAGCCAATCACATGGCGGCAACTCAGTGCATTTAGGCATGTAGACATGGTCAAGACAATCTCCTGCAGTTCAAACCGAGAATCAGTATGGGGAAGAAAGGTGATTTGAGTGACTTTGAACGTGGCATGATTGTTGGTGCCAGAAGGGCTGGTCTGAGTATTTCAGAAACTGCTAATCTACTGGGATTTTCACGCACAACCATCTCTAGGGTTTACAGAGAATGGTCCGAAAAAGAAAAAACATCCAGTGAGCGGCAGTTCTGTGGGCGGAAATGCCTTGTTGATGCCAGAGGTCAGAGGAGAATGGCCAGACTGGTTCGAGCTGATGGAAAGGCAACAGTGACTCAAATAACCACCCGTTACAACCAAGGTGGGCAGAAGAGCATCTCTGAACGCACAGTACATCGAACTTTGAGGCAGATGGGCTACAGCAGCAGAAGACCACACCGGGTGCCACTCCTTTCAGCTAAGAACAGGAAACTGAGGCTACAATTTGCACAAGCTCATCGAAATTGGACAATAGAAGATTGGAAAAACGTTGCCTGGTCTGATGAGTCTCGATTTCTGCTACGACATTCGGATGGTAGGGTCAGAATTTGGCGTCTACAACATGAAAGCATGGATCCATCCTGCCTTGTATCAACGGTTCAGGCTGGTGGTGGTGGTGTCATGGTGTGGGGAATATTTTCTTGGCACTCTTTGGGCCCCTTGGTACCAATTGAGCATCGTTGCAACGCCACAGCCTACCTGAGTATTGTTGCTGACCATGTCCATCCCTTTATGACCACAATGTACCCAACTTCTGATGGCTACTTTCAGCAGGATAATGCGCCATGTCATAAAGCTGGAATCATCTCAGACTGGTTTCTTGAACATGACAATGAGTTCGCTGTACTCAAATGGCCTCCACAGTCACCAGATCTCAATCCAATAGAGCATCTTTGGGATGTGGTGGAACGGGAGATTCGCATCATGGATGTGCAGCCGACAAATCTGCGGCAACTGTGTGATGCCATCATGTCAATATGGACCAAACTCCCTGAGGAATGCTTCCAGCACCTTGTTGAATCTATGCCACGAAGAATTGAGGCAGTTCTGAAGGCAAAAGGGGGTCCAACCCGTTACTAGCATGGGGTACCTAATAAAGTGGCCGGTGAGTGTATATTACATTAAAAGAATGGTCTAGTATAGCACAATATTTTTTCAGGATCACTAAAATTACTTTTTTAAAGCTATTCCCACTAACATTGTTTATATAGCCATTGTTTTATGGCTATACTTGCTAATATAACAAAAAAATATTGCCATGATATATATACAGTATATATATATATATATATATACACACACACACACACACACACACACACACATATATACATATATATATATAATATACACACACACATATATACATATATATATATATATATATATATACACATATATATACATAATATATACTGTACATATACACACACACACACACACACACACACACACACACACATATATATATATATATATATATATACACACACACACACACACATACATATATATATACATACATACATACACATACATATATATATATATATATATATATATATATATATATATATATATATCTCAGAACAATGGACTATAAAAACAAAATTAGAAACAGGTTTAAGGTCAGATGGATTTAGAGCAACAGAACAGAAGGAAACTATGAAGTCATGGCTGTTTGAGAGATTAAACTTCTTTCTGGCAATGGTGACACTTTGGCAAGTTTCACGATAAGCAAACGGACAGCTGCCCCTACCCCTAGTTTCAGGTAACGTCAACTGATACGAATTCACAAAGCGGGGGTAGAAAACAGCCCTGTTCCCTCCACACACACGTAAATCGTGATGAGTATATTAAAACTTGAAACAACAGCTGCTCAATTCAGCTTTGTGATTAAACACGAATAAGGAAAACTCCTGAAAAAGCATGTGGCAAGATTAAAAATACATCCTAAAATGTTTTACTCTTTAATTAAAGGCTTCAAAGAATTTTTGCAGTTTCTGGGGAGCATTAATAAATTAATAAAAATGCCATTCTGACTGTGATCTGATAAATACTACAATAAATCCTCTCATCATGTGTTAATAGACAATATATGTGTGAGTGAAAATCGCATGTGTCCCTATTTGAAGGAAAACAAGTGCATAGTAGTCACTAAGACATCAAAATTCAGCAACTGACCAATCAGAAACAAGTATTCTAGCGAGACTTCATACTGTGCAAAAATTAGGGATGCACCAAAATCTCAGCTACCAAAAATATTTTCAGTTTCAGGTCAAAATGGAGGACAAAACATGAACACAATGGCCAAGCAGAGACATGAATGTTACAGTTTATTGTCATTTAAATATATTTTAATATTATATTTTACCAACAAACTGGAGTAGAAACAAATCTGTTATTAAAAAGTTAACATAAAACCTGCCTTATGCCAACAACTCAGTTTGAGCTATTTGCGTATCAATTATTAAATAAGTTTGATAAATTAATAATCAATTAATATTTATCATTATATTTTTGTTTTTTGACCAAGTGCATCCTGAATTTTCAATATCTGAATATATATATATATATATATATCAATATCTGACTTTTGAATATCTGTTTGGACTTAGCATTAAGGTTACCTTAGCATTTAGTGTCAGAAACATTTAATAAAACAAACAAATAACAAAAAAAGGGTTTGCTGGCAGCTGTAAGAGAACAAGATGATGACTGATAAAGGCACTAAGCTAAATAACGGGATTATTTTTTTCCTTTACTGTAAATTGAAGTGAATTAAATTACCCTGAATTGAAAGGTCTGTCTATAAAAGAAAGCATCCGTCTAAAAAAAAACAATCTTAACCATTGTATTTCATCAGAAACGATCCTAAAACAGGGCTTTAATTGAAAACAGCCATTTTAAATTGTAATAACATTTCACAATATTACTGTTTTACTGTATGTTTGATCAAACAAATGTAGCCTTGGTCAGCAGAAGAGACTTCTTTCATAAACATTTAAAAATCTTACGTTTTTGTAACAGTAGACAGAAACTTTGTCTAAAAACATTGGTTAAGAACAGCCAAGAATGTTTGAGAAGATGAATTAAAAATACGCTAAATAGACTGAAGCTTGGAGGAGGGGAAAGTGAGAAGGGAGTGAGGGGTGGAACAGAGGGATTGACGGATGTTCTCACCTCTATTGGGGAAGAGAGAGTGACAGTGGGGGAACTGAGGCTACGGGGTCTGCGCACTTGTGGTTCGATTAGATGGTTGCTGGAGGAGGAAGGGGTGGAAGCGGGAGGTGTGGCGGCTGCTGTAGCGCCCCCTGCTGCCGCAGCTGAGGTACTGGCTCCATCTTCAGTGTGCTGTTGGGCAAAAAGAAGGGTTAGCTAGCTAGCCACCACAAGTTGACACGTACGCTGAATGACAGAAAAAATAGCGCGTCTCTCACTCTCCCCTTCTGCTTAGACCGACTGCCATAGCCATCGGTATCAAGTTACGCCCTCATTCAAAGGCAGGGCGGGGATATGCAGCTCATTTGCATTAAAGTGGCATGCCTCAAAACAGCTTATTTTCAAACAGGCCCCAAAATGACATTTTCAAATGGTTATAATAAATTAACTGTGGGGTATTTTGAGCTGAAACTTCACAAATACATTCTGGGGACAACCGAGACCAATATTATATCTTGTAAAAAGGGGCATAATAGGTGCCCTTTAAAGAGGACCTAATATACTTTTTTACATTTTAAAGTTTCTATAGTGTGTAATGTTGCTTTTTGAGCATGAAAAATGTCTGCAAAGATCCAAAGCCAGTTCCAAATGGAGTTGTTGTCTATATCAGTAAGTACTTTCAGAACTCCCTGTAATGTCTCGATTGTAGTTTTGTGTTTTCTCCCAGAAATGCACACTTCACAATATTCCTCATTTAAATAATTCCTGCCTAAGACATTAGCAAAATAAAAGGGATTAGGCCGGGTTAAACTCTGTTAGTAGTGTGTTGAAACTTGTGGTTATGGTTGAAACGGTTGACCAATCACAAGACATTCGTCAAGCTGACCAATCAGATCTTTTTGGAAAGAGGGGGTCCATTGAGGCAGGAACTAAACAAAGTGTTACTTTCAGACTGCAAAGAAAGGAGCTGCATCAATGTAAAACATGAGGAAAATAATGTGTATGAAACATTCAAGCATTAAATTCTATTCTAGCAGGCCCCCAACACAAAATCAAGAGGACATAATAGGTCCTCTTTAAATAAACCATTTTACTTGTTCTGTTAAAAAAAAGAAAGAAATGGAGAGAATCCTACAAAGGATGAAGAATTAGTTTACTAGGACAAGGAAGAGGATGATAAGATATAGATCAAGAGGGACCAGAGCAGTAATAAATAGATCAAGGGAACACACAACGCTTGCCAGAACAAACAACATCCAGACATTGTGAAGGGATGAGTACACATTAACATGGATGCAAACAGATAAAGGCAGAACAATAAAAAATGACGTTGATGCAGTAAAACAAAGATGGGTCATAAAGAAGAACGTATAAAAGTCACTCAAATTTGACAGTGGATGCTGGAAAACACCTGATGAAGAAGAGACCTCTGCTAGCTTTAGCTAGGATACGCTAGATTACGTACCTGCAGAATGGGCCGTGTCCATGTGGTGCTACGGTTGTTATGGTTGACGTAGTACATTCGTCCTTTGGGGTCCTTGCGTTCCTCCCAGCCTGGCGGAAGGCCTGGTGTGGTCAGGGCATAGGAGGCCGATGGAGACTGAACAAAGTGAAAAGAACAAAAGAACAAATGACTTCGTATATTCAGAATTCAAGAGAAGCAGGGGAAAAAAACTAGCAGAGATTGAAATCTATTTAGATTCATTCATTGTAACTGAACTGACAGTGATATCAGGGTCATATTTGTATGAAATTTAACATGATGAGTGTGGGAATATTGCCAGAATACTGACACATTTTCAGACACAAATCTAGATAAAAACACACTCACGAGAACACCTAAGCAACACAACATACTAAACACACTCCGCTCTAGGTGACATGATTTTTACAAAGTAAAAGTCTCATTTTGAAATGTCTGGGTGACTTTACATTTAGGGTGAAGATGGACAAGTCGAGGTTTAACCCTTGCAATCTCTAATTTTATGTGTCATTCACATGCTAAAAAAACTGGTGTGAAACAAAAAATTGAAAAAATATTTGTGAAATGAGATCTTTAAAATAGAGCTCCTATAATAAAATAAAAACAATTGCTTAAATTAAATTAACAAATTATTAATTTATGAATATAAATTAAATGAATATAAGTAATAATAAATGTAACCACCTCAAAATAAATTAAATACAAAAATATGTTAATATGACATAAGGGGAAGAACCAAGAAGACAGGAGAACACAAATGTACAACATGTGGATATTACCATGGTGTCCTCAACGCCTGTGACCGTTTGTGCTCTTGTTCGTCGGGTCTGGGAGCTCTGCTGGACAATAACAGCTGCTTTTAGATGGGGCGGGCAAATGCCCAGTTTTGGGCCAGTGGGAGAGGGGAAATGAGGGCAAATGGAAGGACAGGGTCAGCCAGAAAGAGTAACGTTGAGAAGGGGAGGGGGTGTGATTTCAGGGTGGTTTTGGTTATTTTAGGTAATAATTTTTGACAGCTGAAGGGGGTGATTTTGTGAGAGGTGCCCTGCAGTGTGACGCAAAGATACAGCAACCCCCCCCAAAAAGTGGAATAACGAAAGGGATGTGATTAGATGGGATTTAATAAGAAATCACGGTTGAATGATTAGATTTGAGAAAATATTGAGATTTGATTTGATTCATTTAAAGAATGACAAGAGTGTGCATGAAATACCCAGGTGCTTATTTGTGGAGAGAAAAAAAGCATAATTTGCAATTGAGAGATCATTACAGTTTCAATATTTTGTTTTTGTCTTAAAATGACAGTAACTCATGACAGCAATTGTATTTTGCATGAACCATTCCTTTACTTAATTCATATAATTGTAAGGGAACTCCACATATTAAAGGAGCTATGGCCAATTTTAACATTGAGGTCATTTTTTTGTACATTTGGAGTCCTGTCAGTCCAGACAAAAACAACAAAAATCAGTGTTGACAGTAGTCGATTGTAGAGTTCACGCGCGTGATCATAAGTGAATATCATCTCAAACCTACCACTGTGTGATGTTCTGAGAATATCAGCTCAAATGGATAGCTCATTCGAATCAGAAGTTGAACACACGGAGGAGGTTTGAGATGATATTCAGATATTCACTAATGATCGCGCGCGTGAGATCGACAATCGACTACTGTGGGCTTCGACCGAAAACAGGAAGCAAATAGAGGAATTAACATCCTTTTTATTCATATCTTTCACATCTACTGCAGTCAGATTGAGCGTGGTCACTCTTAATAATACCAATCACATGGCTCAAGGATGTTAAGAGGCTAAACGCAGGTTTAGAACATGCCCCATTGAAGTCAACAGGGTGCGAATTTTAAAAAGACGATAACACTGTGTAGGCCATTCCGATTTTTGACAGCACTCCAAATGTACAAAAAAATGAGCTCAATGTTAAACTAACCGGAGTTCTCCTTTACCATTGACTCACATAATTGTAAGGGAACTCCACACATTAACAATGAAACTTAAATGATAATAATAATAAGCATTTCAAACTGACTCACACTTACCTACTGACTCACCAACTTTAAAAACACTGAGGAAACACCACCTGGACTAACATCCGACTGGCACACAGAGTTTACATTTCAAATGCTGAAAAATTCAACTTCAGAAAATGAAATGCTTCATCTGCTTTTATATGGATATAATAAAAGACACTTGTCTCAAACAGGGCAATCCTATTAGCCATCCTTTCAAGTAATGATTGAACATTTGCACTGGTGTGAAATGTCAGCCTCCTTGCACACAGGGACGGGAAGTGTGGGGGAAATGCCAGCTCTCACCCACGCTGATATCATACAGATTTGCTGTGACTATAGCGAAATCCCTCATCTGCAGCTGAGAAGCACTTCACAGTCAGAGACAACGGGCCACCAACCAATTGGCCTCTTGTCAGAACAAAGTGGATGCGATGCAGAGAGAACACGGAAAAGGCATCTATTTGAAAGCGGATTCAGGCGGATGAGGAAAAGCGTTTTTTTCTCCAGTGTAAAGGATATGTTACTTCAAAGTTCAAAGTTCAAGAATGCTGTTGAAGTGTGGAGGTAAAAGATTAATGTGACTACTTTATATTCAAACTATTCAGGACAGTTTGTACTTTTAAGACTGCTCTTTTGAATAATCCCAGGCACTAGGAGACACCTTGCAAAATACTTGGACAACACGAGTAAGAGTAATTCACAAGTAAATCAGGGTATCAGATATAACACTTCAAGGGACTTCAATCATTTACTCATCCTAATGTCATTTTAAACCTACTTTCTTCGGAGAAACAAAAGATATTGTGAAGGGCAAAAGGGACATCATCAAAGCAGTAAACACTGACTATATTACAAATCTAAAAACCATACAATATATGACAGAAATAGATTTACTCTACTGTTCAAAAGTTGGGGGTCAGGACATAACAAAAAATAAATGAAATGAATACTTTTTTTATTCAGCAAAAATATTTTAAAGGGATAGTTTACCAAAAATGAATCAAAAATATAAAAATTTAATCAAAAATTTTACTCAAATTTAATCAAAAATATCTTCATTTGTGTTCCAAAGATGAACGAAGGTCTTACGGGGTTGGTATAGCATGGGGGTGAGTAATATATGACTTAATTTTCATTTTTGGGTGAACTATCCCTTTAAATTGATCAAAAGCAAAAGCAAAGACATATATTATGCTATCAAAATGCTATTTAAAACAAATACTTTCCTTTTGATTTAATCATCGAAAAATACAGGAAACAATAACTTATTACAGTTTCTACAAAAATATTAAGCACAACTGTTTTCAGCATTCATTAAAAATGAATGAATGTTTCTAGAGCACCAAAAAAATATATTAAAATAGAAAGCTGTTTTTAAATTCTAATAATATTTACTAATTATATACTATAAATACTACTAGCATTTTTTACTAAATAAATTCAGCCTTGCTGAGCAAAAGAGCCATTTAGAGACAAAAGAGACAAAAACATTAATCCCCAAATGTTTGAAAGGTAGTGTAAATCTGCCTTTTATTCTGGCTTTTCCTAAGATATGGCTTTAGATAATATAGAAAACAGAGCCTGAGTTGTGTTTGCAACTTTTATGGTACATAACTTTTTTTTTAGAGGTTACGAGGTTTCATTGTATGAAAAAGAGCAAAAACATTCATTAAAACATCTCATTTTATGCTCCATTGTAACACAGAAACTCCAGCAGGTTTGGAACGACATGAGGATGAGTAAACAATGACAATAGTCGAGTGTTGATATGGTTCTGAACACCTTGTCAGTTCATCTAGTATTCATTTAAATACAGCTCTACAAACAACTACATCATACAAAGCTTAGAGGTAAATCAAAAGTGAGTGTGCATCACATTTGCTTTATGCCTTTATAAGGTTCAATAACGGATCTTAATCCGTAGCACAAGGTTACTGCGCAAGCTGCCAGATCTTATCTGGGAAATTCCCAGCATGCACTGGTCTAAATGCCACGATACAATAATGAAATAGACACCAAAACACTTGAGAGGCTAACCCAACTTCTTAACCGATGGGGCCATCAGACGTGAGTCACGTGAATCAGCCGGCAGGAAATTTTCAGAAAATAAACAAGTCTTAAGGCTGGGAATCGTGCCTTTTAAATGAAGTACTTCAAAGATGTGGTGGACTTCCAGTGTAACATCCAGTGTCTGTGTCTGTTTCCTGTCTCATGTAAACTGGAGCAGTTCACTTCACACGGTGACCTCATCCACATGGGTAATTTTATTTGACCATATGTGGCTTATCTGCTGTAAAACAGCATTTGGCGGATCATTTAAAAAGACAGCACACTGTTTTTCTTGTGCATCCATGCATCTTACAGCATCCAAAACCAAGTTCAAGTACAAAAATACAATAGGTTTACATGCATCTAAGGTCCAAAAAATCCTTTCGTTTTCTCATCACCTCATTTCTCAAAGAGTCTGAGATGGTTTGTTCGAAGATTCAGTCTCTCTAAATACCTCCTTTCCAAAAGCAAACTCTGCTCTGATTGGTCAGACAGCCCAGTCTGTTGTGATTGGTCAGAAAAGAAACGGCCATCTGAATTTCAGCTCCAGAGGCTTCCTAAATTCTCAATGACTGTACACACTGTAAGCACAGTAATATTTACCATATCAATTCAAGCCCGAGAACAATGATGAAACATTGGAAGAACTAGTCAATCAACCCTAACCTCAATCGCAAGGACTTGAGCAAGACTTTCCTCAGTGGCAAGATTTTACTTAGTTTGTGGAATATTATGAGATGTTATAGCTGTGTAATTCCTCTACATCAGCATTAACAAGTGTATGTCCATCAATAAACCGATGTGTAAATGGAAATGCCTCAGTGCAATAACTCGATTGATTACAACTCTTTTATAGAACGTTGCACTTTTTTTTCCTAAAATTACTGAGAAAGCTGCACTGTCAAATGTTCCTTTAAAATAACTCCCACAGTCACATAATCACAGTGGAAACACGTTAACTCATCCTATGACATCATAATCACCACTATAGCTTCAATAAATCAATCCTAGGAGCTTAATAATACCATATAAATCATTATCCTTCAACATACGCAGATTACGCACACAAAAACACAAAGACAGGTGATGCGTTTCTGAGTGAACATCAGGTGACATTTTACATAACGTTGACTATTTTGTCACTTACATTATTCATATTTCAGTGATGTTAAGCAATATATATATATTTATATATATTAATAACATTTTAAATTTATTGATCAAAGTTTCTAGATATTTCTAACTATCTGTACCTGTGATTGTGCATTAACAATCTGTCAAGCATTATGTAATGTGAAAATGTGTGTTATTTTATTCAACAGATATAGTATAAAGAATATTAGTAAGAGAACATTGTCAGGAAATCCTCAAGGTCGGACCGGAACAAGCACTAAGGCTCAATGTGTTAAGAATGTCATGGCTCCAAAGTTTATTAAAGTCAACAGTATTATTCTCAACTCATTCTAACAACTGTAGGTTGGGAACTGATTCATTTCCATGTGGGATTGACAAGATCATGAAAAGTGATGATGTCATCTTTAAAAAGTAGAGTTGTTTGAGAGCCTATTTTATCATTTTGATGAAAAATTACAAAGACAAACATTTTTTTTTCCTCTTTGAGATCAAATTTAAGACAGGAATGAAGTTATTGAAGAAATTAATGAAGTTAATAGGGCTGATTTTTATTTTAACTTCATGTTTACTTCAATGCTTTTTCAAGTGTTATCAAATATTCCTACTGTCATATTATTGTCATTCCCAAAGGTAGCCAAGATGTTCATTAGAGACAACAGGATTTGAAGCCGAAAGAGTAAAAGATAGTACGGTACTGTGAGTAAAAAAAATAAATAAATAAAAAATCACCACATGAAGTGAGACAGAGAGGTGAGGAGGAGAAAAGTAGGTATACCGTTGGTGTGGGAGGTTGAGTTTGTTCACTGACTCCATCAGTCATACTAGAGGAGCGTAGCCGAGAGGAAAGATGACTCTGCTGGCGTGAAAAAAAGAGATAAAAAAGGCATTAAGACACAGTTATAAATAAATAAAAGACATAAATATCTATCTGAGTGGCCATTTTCTAAATGGTACAGGCCCTAAATTCAAACAGCCAGCAAAAATCTAATATTTTGGCATATCTCACTCAAATTTGAACAGAAGAAAAAAAAAAAAACATTTTTCATTTAAATAATTTCATATTTACAGTACAAATACATACATATCTTGTAAATATATATATATATATATATATATATATATATATGACTGATTTCAAGTCGTTTTTTAGCCATTTGGGATGTGACTAAATTTTATTTATTAATGTGACAAAAAGTTATAAAGTGTCCAAAGCTAAAGCTAAATTATATACAATTTAATTTAATAAATTGCTTTCAGGTAGTTTTTTTTTTTTTTTGTCATTTCAAGTGTGACCTGAGCAACTTCAAATTCATACACAGAGTTAAGTAGTGTCACTCATGCGCCATTCGATATGTTTTTAAATGGTAAATGAGTGAACGATTTTAGACACATCATATGCATGACTGTACAAATACAGTAATGCCTCTGGGCTGGCACTTATGTATCTGATATGCTTGATGAATTTAGCACTGTGGCAGATGTCATGATAGGCATCAGCAGAGGAAAAATGTTCCGTTTCAATTTTTCCTTGACCCCTTGCATGTTCGTTTATTAAACATTTAGTCTAACTTTCAGTTCAAAATAACTGTCTGTAGCACCTTCGGCTCTGTGTAACAATTAATTATGCACAGATCAGTCTGGACATGACTACATTGTCTTAAAAAATGGACAATATATTATGCAATTTTATTGTGAAAAACATTATCAAAGTCCAAAAGAGAACCAGACAAACCAGAGCAAATAATTTAACAAAGCCATAGTAAGAGATTTTTCCAAACTGAGTGTCTCCTGTTCACAGAGGCCCCCTGCGCTGCCTCCACAATGATTCACCGAGTGATTCAGCATGAGTGTACAGAGGTACACATGTGTGGATGTGCTTCAGAGTCAGCTATTATTTCTGACATCATTAATAACGCAATTTCAAGAATTCCAAATGCAATATCCTGAAGTAGACTAAAAAACATGCCAGTTGTGCTTGGAGTCAATTGTTTTGTTTGTGGTAATGTTATGAAACATGCCAAATTGTGCGGTCATCATATTTTGGCCAAGCTGTCATACAAAGAAATTGTGCAAAAAAAAATAGAGTGACAACAAAATATGAAATAGTCAATGTAGGATTTTTTCTATAAGCTTTTTGTTTTTCTAATCTTAAAATAACATGGGCCCTATCTTGCACCCGGCGCAAATGACTTCGTACACTGACGCATTTATCAATTCTATTTTGCACCCGCGCAAAGCGGGCTTTTCCCTCCACAGGTAGGTCGGCGCAAAAAAGAAGGCGTGTTTCGGTGCAAACAATCCCAGGTGCTATTTTGCAGTTCCAGAAAACAATTGCACCAATGACCAGAAAAAACCTAGTCTGAAGTCAAAGTTTCACGTACATTCAGATGCTATTTTAAGCGCACATGCTTGGCCATAAAACAGAGTACGAACACCATCCATACACTGTAGATGATTCTCCATCTACACAGATGCATTTTACTTTTTGCAAATGATACATTATTATAAGGAAAACTATTAAAACACGAGAGAAATCACTGTTGTGTCCATGACGATGGGAAAAATAGGCATAAAGCTTACACATTTACCCAAATTATTATATGCATGTTTAACCGAAGCTAATTTGGGTGGGTTTGTCCCATCCTCAACGTCACTTCTCTTTCTTTTACGGCCCTGACGAGAACATCGATCTCCTCGGCTGTGAACCAATTGTGAAGCGCACCTGGTAAATGCGCCGTTATAATAGTATTGAAACATGGAACAAGCGCAATTCGTTCATCATGCTCTTAAAGGGAATGTGATATGATGCTCTTATTGGTTTGTTCCCCGTTACGCCCAAACCACACCTATGAATAATGAAGCTACTTCAGACCATAGACGGTAAAAAGCTTCAGACCAGCCACCTTTAGATTTGCATCGGTAAAATACCCGCCGGTAAAGTAGCAACAGCGCCAAAGACCCGCCCACAAAGTTACTAGCGCTTCGCGCTTGATACTTGCGTTTCAGATCGTTAAAATAGGGCCCCATAAGTGTTTTGCCCTTTGATGGATTAATCATTGTAGTCATTAAAAACAAACATCCCCTTGAACATCACTAGGCCACTAACTGTATATAAAGATGTATTTATTTTAACACATTCTCTTTCTGGCCCTTAAAACAAAGATAACAGCAGATATTTTTTTTGGATTGATTTTTCTTTCTTACCACAGCAGAGCTAGGTCCTGGGATTTCTCCGTTTGTGTCTGGAGCGAGAGACAATCTAAGGCTGATCTCATCTGAGATTTCTGGAGTGCTGGAGAGGGGCATCGCCAGAGAGGAGGGTCCGGACAGAGAATGGTTCAAACCGTCAGTCAATAAAGTTGGGTCTTCCTCAGAAATGGGTTCCCATGACTGGAAAAGGAGGGATATGCATGAGAACCTAACATAATAATGATTTTGTTAAGAAAATGACATTTTAAAAATCTTAAAAATTTTAACCAAAATGAGGGGAAAAATGCAAAAGCTTTTCGCAGAAAAGATGATGCTATCTAGCTCAACTCATAGCCTCAGAGGTCAGGGGTTAAATACTAACGTCGTCTATGTCCCTGATGTCCAGCTGCTCATTTTCCAGGTCTTCGCTAATGTGCCGTCGTGAGCGGAAAACTCTGTGGGCTTCCTGGTTAATCTGCCGCATTTGATTATCATTTTCCGTTTCTGAAACCACATCCCTAAAGCACAGATGGGGAGAAATTTTTTTTTTTCCGCACATATTAGAGTCTGGTAAGGTTTTACGTCACAAAAATGTTGATTTTAGCATTTCATTGTTTTTGCTTGTTTTTTACATGTGCTTTTAAAGTGTTTTGATAAATGGCAAAAGAGGTCACATACACACTACTGGGCCTCTTCCACTGCGTGGTGCGGTTGTTATGGTTGACGTAGTATGTCCGGCCCAGGTTATCCACCTTCTCTTCCCAGCCCGGAGGCAGTGGAGGCAGGAGCTGCTGAGGTCTCTGTGAACCTGGATCTGCGGAGTCTGTCACCTCCCAGCCCTGAGAAGAAAAAAGTGAGAGACAGAGAAATAGAAGTTAAGAGACAAAAGAGTAAGTAAGAGTCAGATGTTCAACAAAAGTAATCATTTTAGTAACTAAAGTTTTCCACAAAAAAAAAAAAAAACATCTAGGGACAAATAAATACATGGGACAATATTTCTAGGGACAAGGGATAAGATCATTTTTAAAATCAAGAATATTTAAATAAGGAAGTCATACATCTTGAAGTCAGTGTGCCATTTAAATAAAATCCTGTTCCATCTTAAAATCCTGGTCCACCAAGTTATGATTAGTATTGCAGTTGCTTTGATACTGTAATATCGACTAGCAGAGAGAGAAGAATATTAAACCAAACCGAAAACTGAACAGTGGGAATAGAAGTCTAGAACAGGAAGCTAGAAAGTTAAAGGGAGGAAATGCCAGACAGTCAACCGGTTCAATCCAAATGGCATACTTTAAAATGGAAAATGCCAAGTAGTCTGTGGGGATGAGAGGATAAAAAGTCACTACAAAAAAACACTAAAAAGCAGGAGAGAAAGCAAGAAAGGGGACATTTAAGTGCGTCTTCTTTTGAAAATGTTCCGTAATTAATTTGGCAATGCCCTTGTTATTAATTTATTATTAATTTTGGCATTTCATATCTATTAGTTTTAGTTGTTTTATTGTTGATATAAATTTGATTGTCTGAACCTATTATTATTTCCCAAAAAATTGATGGGGCATTATTGATATAATTCATTAAAAATGTCATCATATCTTTGTTACTAGAAAAAAAAAAAAAAACCTGATTTAAACCTGAAGTCATTTCTTTTTGAGATGAACGCTGAGGGGAAGTGGAGTCATTTAAAGGAGATAAAATATCTACATTCTTCCTACTAATGGGTTGGTTTTACCTCAGCTTCTTCCCTCATCTCGCTGGTTTCCTCCTCCTGCCCGCCGTTCTTTGGCAAGTAGGCCATTTTCAGTCTCAGGTAGCCTTTCACCCTAGACTTAGGACTATAAAAGCATGTCATCACAGAGTCACACAGTCATCAGAGTACAGTAAAATATAGTACAGACATCAAAATTGTAACATATTTTGTTTACTTTCCTTAAGTGGTAACTGCATTTATTTAGTCCTTAATTACACCAGAATTTAATCAGAATAATTGTTTGAAATTATTTTAATATTTTGAGAGCCTCAATATCTATCTTACATTTTTTATCCACATAGTGACATATCGAGTCATATCGTCAAGTGGAGTAATCAACAAGTATATTAAATATATAGAAAAGTGCACAAGCATTAAGTGTTCCCGTGCTAAATTTTTGACTAACTATAGCCACAAAGCATTAAGGGGATTCACTGGTGTTAGTTTGACAGTTGCACAGAAAGAAAAAATGGACAAATTTGAAATGTGCAGTATCGAAGCAAAAGTACAGTCCTGTGAATAAGGTAAATAAATGCAACACCAACGCATCAGACTGTTGTAACTACAAATAGAACACTAAAGTTCTTGTACTGTGTTTGTGAAAGCTGCATAACCACTGACCTTCTTGGACGCAGGAGAAAGTCTTTAAATGTGTACGGCCGTTCCATTGCAGGGTCCTCCGTCTATACAAACAATACAGAAAATAAACAAACATGCATCAGATCTGGGCTAAAGTCAGTGCAATCTCACAAAGCATGAATCTATAACAGTCCCAGTCTGGTTGAAGGTGGGGAACGAGGGATATAGACCCTTGGGTGGCGTCCAGCTGTCTTATGCAACACTGTTCTCCTGTTACATTTAAACTGCCCACAGGTTGGATATTTGTGGCAGGTCATTAGTGGCTACAATCTGATGGAAATTGATGGAATTGGCACCTCTGCCAGTGCCCGAAACCAAAACTATGTGAGGAAAGGTTGGAGGCCCTGAAGGAAAACGGGAGAGCTTTCCTGTTTGGCAAGTCTAGATCAAACTAGAGGTGAAAAGCATTCAGATTTCAAAACCAGAAAGAACTCAAATCTGCAAGGTATCTTAATAAATAAACACTGTACATGAGACATCTATACATGTCTGATCCAAGTATGGGAAACCACTTTTAAATATTCAGCAATAAGAGCAGGCATAAAAGGAGCGAGTGGTCTGGACTGCAACCACGCAGAAGTGAATAGTAGATATGTAGGCGGCCGCAAGAAAAACAGACCAGACTCTGTGTGTGAGACTAAATATGATATCCAGCACAGAAATGTCACTTAGCCACTGGAAATAGTTTCAAACAAAAAACAAGGGTTGTTCCATTCCAAATCTTTTCCTAAATGTCCACTGCAAGAAAACTATCTCTTGCTCAAAAGTTAACTGGAACAAAATGCCATTTTGAAAACCAATGACTTTTTCAAGCACAAAGCTTGCAGACTATGTGTGGTTTGGACTGTTTTGGACTGTTTTGTTTGCAATAAGGTATATGAAAGGCTGTGCTATATTGTAACAATATTAGTTACTGTACTAGACTATTTTAAAAACATATATTTACATTTTAAAAGGTTTGTGTTTTAAAATAATACAAATAATATGCATTGAAAAAAATAACACTTTAAGATTAATAATATTTACATATATAATTATAATCCATGCACATTCATATATACAGTATCTGTCAAAAGTTTGGAAATATTTCCATTTTGTTATGTTTTTTAAACGGATATCTAATGCTTACCAAGGCAGCATTTTTTATTCAATCAAAAATACAGTAAAAACTGAAATATTGTGAAATATTATTACAAATTAAAAGAACTGTTTTCTATTTGAATATATTTTAAAATGTAATTTATTCCTGCGATGCAGTGTCACATGATCATTCAGAAATCATTCTAATATGCTGATTTGGTAGCCTAGAAATCTAGACACACCGTAGCGCAGCAAAAATTATTTCGCAGCCAGTGTGGTCTAGCAACTCTCCATAGACGTTTTAGCTGGAAAAATCAAACTCTGGTGAGGCCAATCACATCGTGTATAGAGTCGGCGGGCGGGCTTAACATAATGACGACAGAGTTAGGACAGTTCACTGCTACTTGAAAACAAAGAATGGCTGCTGCTGGCAAACAGCTGTCTTTCGATTCGGCTTTGACCACTACTCTGGATGATTTGAACTTAAGCTTTTTTTTTTTGAAACCAGAACAAAGAACGGCACTTGAGTCATAAAAAAAAAAAAAAAGATGTGTTCGGAGTTTTGCCGACTGGATACGGTAAAAGTATAAAATATCAACCTGCTCCGTTGGTGGGAAAACGCATGGGACTCAGTCGTCACCTTCTTCGTTGCTCTATAATTGTAGCGCTATCCAATTGCGTGCAGAGAGAATTTGAAAGACAACCGTTTATCCTGCCCCTTGGATTGAGCCCTGTCAATGATGAGTTCCCATACCCAACATCTTGATGTAGGTCTGGCATGCCAGGCTAATGATTTGGTGCTTAGGTGACATTTCTTATTATTATCAGCGTTAAAAACAGTTGTGCTGCTTAACATTTTTGTGGAAATGGTGATACTTTTTTCAGGATTCTAAGAAAACGCCACTTTAAATTATATAATTTTAGGACTGTAAATTCAATTTGAGTTCCAAGTTACCACAATTTGAGAAGCAATGTACTAGAAGATAGTGTGTCATATCAAAGCTAGAAATTTCAGTATTGTGACAACACAACTAGAAAATATACAGTCCATGAGACATATAAACCTAGCCAGTGCTAAGATTTAAAATCGATTGGTATTTTATGTCATATGTATTTTAACATGAATGGAATGCTGTACTGACCAAACATTATTACATTATTATAGTGAATAATGTTGTAGTAGGGGCTAAACTGGGCCACCCTGGAAGTGCGTCTTCTTTTTGACAGAGTGATTTTTTTAGTTGGGATAGCCCTCTCAGAAGCAGCCTGTGTGTTTACATTCCGAGTAATTCCCTTTCCACTCCGTACAGGGATATGGGCTTCAACATTTTGAGTTGCTTAATTGCTGTAATGTGACCCTCAATAACTTCCAACTCTTACCCTTTCAGTCAAGAGCTAAAAATTGTTCCTGAGAAAAAAAAAAAAAAGTAAACAAGATCTCTTTTGAATGTCACAAGAGCACATGAACTTACCGGTAAATGGGTAAGAGGCACATCCACCTGCCCAAGGAAGTCATCTCTGGTCTATATATGAAAGATAAAGAACAAGAGAGGGCAAGAAGAAATTAAAATAACATAAAAACTAGTAACGTAGAGTTTTAGCTGTGAAACAGTGACTGACTTCAGCAGGATTCGGCAATGACAACCACAAAGAGGAGGACAAATACATACACATACTGCATAACCCAAGAAGAATGAAAATGTGTGCGCGAGAAAGAGAGAGAAAGGAAATACAGTTTTAAGGGCAGTGTTAATGTCAAATGTGTCTCTTTAAAAAGGGAAAACCTTACAACCAACCCAATGAGGTGCAGCAGTTAAGTAATAAGTTAGGATCAAAAGTCAGAAAGAGTGTATTAATGTATGAACCGCCAATCAAAAGCCTTCAATCCACCCACCAATTCCAATAAGCCAAACTGTGAAATTGTCAGCTGTAATTGTCAGGTAGTTGGGTCAGGGTCGACCAATAGATTACCTGACCATGGTTGAAATGACCATTCTTGGACCGATCATGCCCAATGTGAGCCTGTGTGTGGAATAAACTTATTAAGACAAAAAGACGAGCACATCCTCGCAATCACCCTAGCAATAAATTAAAATAAATAAATATCATAAATAAATTGATAAAATGAAATAAAAACAATGACACCCAGTTAGTCAGCACTTGAGCATCAGAATGGGTGTAGCTTTCGCACAACAATGCTCATTTATTGTGGAAAGGTTAAATATGAGTCACTATTTGTGGTGGTGAGTGAAAAACAGGACCACAAATACATTCTCAAGCCCCTATTCACCATGGAAAAGCCACCATGTCTGAGACATTCCTCTGATTAAATGTTAAGTGCTTCTGAGTCAAATGGGGTTACGGCCACCAATCCACCAACAGCAGTTGTGAATCACAAACAGAAGCAAAATGAAGCAATTAATTAAACCAAAAGGGATGAAGAAATGACCTAGGAAACTCAATAAGCTAGTTAAATCTTAAAGGTCACATTGCAGAAGAATTAGGTCTTAAAGATTCCGGTCACTAAGCAAAATATTTTCCTATCCTTCTGCAATTAAAAAAAGATGCTCTAAATAAGTGTTAACTGATGTCTTTTAACTACAGCGACTTTGAGGCGATTAAGAACATGTCTTTATGACCCTGTGTTAAACATAAATATTTGCTTAATCATCGTCTATTACAGAGCTGAGCAAGCAGTTGACTTGAGCCGTTAAAGAGGCTGAAATGTGCAAAAACAAGCTGAAATCAAGACGGCAGGAACGTAAGAACCAATACGCCCATGGGAGAATTAATGGAATTTCATGGAATACTCTTGTTGTGCTCTTTACCGGAAGGAGAACTTGTTTATGAAACCTTAGCTACATTACCTAGGTCATGTAGCTAAAGTTTGCAAAGGTTAGGGTCAGGGGTTATGGAAATAAGACCCAAGAAAAAACTTCCGACAACTGATCTGCAAAAATCAGAGGTGCTCAAATTAGACTGGAGCCCCCACAAATTTAGCAACAGGGTTCCTTTCCGAGCCACAACAGTAAGGCACCACCACAACAATATGAAATACTGACAGAACCTGACTAAATCTCATTGTCTTCTCTTACCTCTGAGCACACACAGGCTTTTTAAAGCACTAAATCCTGAGTTCTGCAAGAAAGCTGCCACAGAAGACTTAAGTGAGATTTTCCCCCTACATCCCCTCATTATGCTTGCTAAAACTTGTGAGACGGCAAACAGTTTTAATCTGGGCACTGGCAAGTAAATGGGAAATCCCATGCACCCCACAGGGAACAAATGCAATAAATGACGATATTTGATATAGTTCTGTAAAAGCTATTGAATTCTGGAAATCCTTATTACAAAGTAGTATTGGAACAGATCTGTATTGTAAAAAGTGGATAGTCTTTGTAAACAAGAACTCTACAGGTTATGAGGTATTACAAGCCTTACCTTCAGAGATAATTCAGCAAGTGTCATTAAAGACATGATTGAGGAATTCAAAAGAACAATCATGACAGAAAAAAGTAAACAGATCTGTGTGAGATGGGTTCACTTCAGTTGATGAACTCTGCTGCTGGAACATTTGGCTCTTTGACTGACTCATTTCCAGTAAAGTCTTTTGAGCAGGTACTGGAAATATATATGCTGCCGATAGCTACCACGGCAATTGGGGAAGGTATGTGCGCGTGACAATCCTGATTGCGGAATCGGAAGATTCTTGAATGAGGACATCGCAGAGACAAAATGTTATCGCTGTGAAGTCCCACTTTCCACATTCCATCAGAAAGATGTTATGAGTTCTGTATATGATAAATACTAGTTCTAGAACTAGTAACTGCTGGTGACAAATTGATGAATGCCACACACTTAAAGTGTATCAGCACTGCTGATGAATTGGCATCTAACATGAGCAGGAATGAATCACTGAGAGGGCTTTCAAATCTCAATAGTAACCTGTAGAGAATAACTAATATGTGGCATATATAAAAATGAGTTAAATGCTTAAGAAGCAAAATAACTCAAAACAAAGCCTTGAGCTTCATCTAACTATTCTGCATTGAGATTTTTCAACAATATACTTTAGCATAGTGCTTTAAAATCTTGGTTTTAAAAAAGTTAGTGGAACTAAGAAAAGCAGTATGTGTAACTATATATTAGATCTTAATCATCACAGAACAGCTGTTACTAGAGATGACGGTGACCCAGGCCAAGGGAGAAAGGCAGCTTTCAAAACCAACAACACTTGACACGGGACTAAAGATAGAACAAGCTCCTCTTCAAGAGAGGGAAAAGAGACAAGAGGACATGCCCCTATGAATGAAGCTACATCTGAAAATGCTTTCAGCTTCTGTATATTTTCCACTTCTGAATATCATATTGAGTATAAGAATTTGTATGCTTGTTGGGAAACCAAAGATGTGGTTACGTCTTGCTCCTGGCCCCCATTTTCATGGAATTTTCACTTCCCAGAATGTGGACAAGTCATTCCTGATCCCACCTCCTCTTTCCTGCTACCTCTTCTTTCATCTGTTTTTCCCATTCTCCAGCCACTTAAAAACTATTAAAACACATTTTGCGAGATTTTCACCTAACTGTATTCTTTGAGTAACGAAACAATTGCATGTTAATAAAGCAGGTCTCAAAAGTAAAAAAGAATCAGCACTTCATATTCAACTCAACTCAAGAACCCCAGTTGTAATTACCTGTGGATTGCTGCAGGTAGGCGCCTTTCCAAAGCTAATATCCTGTGCATGGATGGGGCTGTGCTCGCCTCCCTGGCTGAAATAGATCTTAAACTTGGACTGTCGCGAGTTCTGTTCCTTACTAATTTTGAATGTGCAGCCTTGAGCTCTGTTCTCAACAATCTCACTCTCAGTCTCCATTTCTGAGATCGGGGCATGAAGGTTTGGCATGGATCCGAGGCATGAAGGAGCTCCTCTGAATTGCAACGGCTGTGAAGCGCTCCTCTCAAGACGGATCCGAGGATACCGCACCAGGCGGCTGCCTTTAGAACCTGTAATACCTAAATCACTCAAGTCAGCTTGAGAAGTAGGGCTTGGGTGCCGTCCTTGGTCCTGTTGAAGCTGGAAGACCAGTCTTTGCGTGCCAGGACCTCTGTCTGAGCTTTGCAGGACAGACCAACGGCCATTCTGTCCATCCTCGCTGTATGGCATGATCCTAAACTCCTGGCCATCGGAGCCATCTGCAGATCCTCTACGAATACTGAAACCTCCAATGGTAATCCCTTGAGGACTTCCATTGGGTACACTCAAACTAGCGTAACCATTTTGTCCATCACATGGCCGGACACAAAAGACTCGCCTCTTAGGTTGGATCGGCTCAGTACCTGGTTGACTTTGCTCCACATTTTGGCAGGAAGTGGATTCTACTCCATCGTAAGCTGGAGGAGGAGGTAAGAACCAACTTTCATCAGGCTCAGTGTAGGCTGGAGCTGGATCCTGAGGGTACCCTGGAGGTGGATCACAGGGCAATGCATCTTCTTGAGATGCAGTTGAGCGTTGTAGAGATATCTGGACGGACGTGCTCTTGGTTGTCCGTGGTTCAGTTTGACTCTGGAGCTGTGGGATGAACATGGAAGAGCTTTGCTTTAGAGAGGCCTCCGAAAAAGCAACTGAACCCGACTCCGGGCTTTCGACAAGTCCTCCGTTTCGTGGCTGCACATGGAACATCATGGACCCTGCGCCACTATAGCCTCTCTCATCTCGGTCTTCCACAGTCCCATTCAGCTGCTCCAACTCTGGCGCAGTGTTACTGCGTCCAGATCCAAAATATAACCGAAGCCGGTGAGACATTCTCCTGTCTGCCTTGATCTGTCTCTGTCCAGCTCTTCCTGGATCTGTCTCACCCACCGTTTAGTGTGTCTGATCCCCTTTTGCTCTCCCTCTCTGTCTTGCTCATCCACCCGCTTTCCTTTCTTTCCCTCTCTTTCCCTTACTCACATACAGAGGCTGCGTTTCGTTTCACAGCTACCAATGAAGCGCTGCCAGGGAGCTTGAAAGTTCAACCCACAAGCTTCAGAGAGAGAGAGAGAGAGAGAGAGAGAGAGAGAGAGAGAGAGAGAGAGAGAGAGAGAGAGAGAGAGAGAGAGAGAGGGACAGAGGGATCTGGAAAGAACGGGAGACGGGGGAAAGAAAAAAACATCCCATGTGTCAAACTCTTCGAGCTGCAGTTCGATAGCGACAGTCAGCAGAAATAGCCCAAGTGGCAAGTTGCATTCCAGGCATGATTGGATAAGGACGCCTGGTGCTCTTACAAGCAAAGGTGAGGGTAGGGTGGCCAAAGTCACATGATCCAGATGGCACCCACCCTCAGTTCCCGGTTAGACCCAAACAGCACTCTCTCAGCTGCTACTGATCTGTCAGAAGGAACTAGACTGCCGGGGGTGGAATGAGAAAGAGAGCGATCACAGCTGACTCAGGACACACTCTCCACAAGCTCATAATTCTTTGTGCTCATTCTACACACAGGGCACACTGGGCCAAGCCACGTTGGGACATGGTGTGACCCACATCTCAAGCTGGTAAAAGAAGAATTTATCCATCTACTTCCAAAAACAATCCTAAAAAAAGAAGTCCTATATTGGTAAGCAGAAGGTCGGATAAGAGGTTTCCCACTATCATTACAGACATTCTTGGATATACCCAATGTACATTTGCTGGAGAAATACTACAGCTTTTTATGTTGGGGCCTTTGTATAGACGTAATATTTCCCATCAAGCTTTTTAAGGGCTGGCATGGCTGAAATGTTCCGTCTACATTAAAAAAAATACTCAAAGGGAAGTTTTAAACCACAACACAGTCACTCTCTTTCAACACAGAGACAATGATTCAGGATGCAGCCGAGGGACCATTTAATTAGAACTAGAGAAGACAAATCTAGGATCATGAACACTCCTAAAACAAAAATAACAAAGCAATTTACTTTACTTTGTGCTTAGTTTAAAAACCATCTTAAATTGTGCGTAAAAAAAAAAAAATATATATATATAAAACGCTTTTTACCTTTTCTGGAATTTCTTGAAATAATTACTGACAGCCATATGTATCATATATAAACCACAAGCTGTGTAATTTTTTTTCTCCAAAAAATCTATTTGGAGTACACCATTTTAAGTTTTCATGCTGGCATTAGCTTTTTCACCACAACCATAATCCATAAAATCTGAATCTTTAGTTCAGAACAGAAATGCAAATATCATAATGATTTGACAGACTGCTGACAGGCTGAATATGTTGCTTAAGCCAATGTGAACACCCAGAGAGATGACAACACTGTGTCCGTATTCAAACTTGAAGAGACACTGCACAAAGACAGAGCTTTGACTAAGAAGAAAAAGAGGGCAAATGCACTTAATTGCCAGGAGTGTGAAAGACTTCATGTATATTACTAATGGAATGTAATATAACTGCATCTGTGTAATTTAAATGAGACAATTATTAACAATAATGAATACTTGTCTAAAGAAAATGTGAGTTGCACTTCACCCAAGCAAAACTCGCCACCACAATTCCAAGAGATGCTGAGTGGTTTAGTAAAAAGTTACAATGTAGTTGCTAGGGTTTTTCTGCATGGTTGCTTAGCAAAAAAAAAAAAAAAAAAACTAAAAAGGGGGGAATTTTCTCACTTCTTTTTATCATCCACTATCCAGAAATCACAAGTCTGATAGCTTAATACTGAAGTAAACACCAAATAACAAACACCAGCCTGACATAAACCGTGAAGTCAGTGCAGTATCTTATTGGATGGAGTGACCGAGACAGACTCCTACTGAAAGAAAGGCCTTGATTGTGAATTTGTGGGCACTCTCTAAAGGGGGTATTGTTTTGGAGGGCACACATGCCTTGCAGTGGCTGAGCTGTGAACAAAGAACGGAGACATCATGGCGTAAGAATTAGTTTCCCAGCACCAAGCATTCTGGGAATTACAACAGGGGGCTTCGAAAGTGCTATCTACTCAGATAATGACTATTTAGTATACACTTAGCTAACATAAAGACAATTTCTTAAAAACTGTGACATTACAAAACCCTTAATAGCAAACATTTGGCTGAATGATGGTAAACGGGTGTTTTTTGATCTGGCATGTTTTCAAGAAGCACATTCCATTCGCTCACCCACACGACTCAAGGATGGTTGTGTCTCCATGACAGCAGTTTTTGAAAGGAAGAAAATTTTTAAATCTACAAAAAATGCTATCAATTGTTGTGAACAACCCAATCTACATCTTAACAATGAAATTATCTCAACTGTCTTCCTCGGATAACAGTAAAATATGCGCACCAATCGGTACTGAAACTTGGGAACCACCATGCTGTGAGTCAATTACAGCTAGATGTCAAAGAGTTTGAGAATACAAAATGCTTTGTATAAAAGAAAGTGGAATGACAGAGTTGTTCTTACTGAAAAAGCAATAGATGGTCAAACAAGCAGAAACTGGGGGAAAAAAGCAAAAAACGTTACTGATGAGAAGACAGGGACGAAAATAAAGAGATGACAGAGCGATGAAAATAGACAGAGAGAATGTAAGTGAGAAAGCGTGAAAATCATTAAATCGGTGTTCAGTCAGTGTGGGACACCATCCATGCTCTCCCTCAGACATATAAGGAAGACGCTCAGATTCTGCTCAGCTCTGCATTGAAACTCGGCCAAAACTGATCACACAGGGGAGACAACTATTTCCCTGTGGACTGCAACATCATAGAGTAAACACAGAGAACAATCCAACTATCTAATCACAAAATAATGCTATATTTACTGACATTAGCTGTACTTCAGATCGAGAGCTATAAAATGCACTGTGGTTCTCAACTGGTTTTGCTTCAGCCTCAGATTCTCAGATTATGTGCATACATAAAAAATTAGGGAATAAGCCTTATTATTTGCCTTTTGCATCTTTCCCTTGTTGTTCCCAACCTTATTGTGACCCATTTGTAGGTTGCAACCCACCAGTTGAGAACTACTGGTTTGAAAAATGCAGTTGCACTATAAAGACTAATCTTCTCGCACTTCACGCGACAGATACGATTCTCCAAATTATTTACAATATTTTTAAAATGTACTTTAAATCTACCTGTACATGTCTAATTTGCAAAACATTACCAGTTACGGTAACACTTTAGCATGGGGAACACATGTTCATTTTAACTTTGTCTTTTGTCTCAAACTTCTAATTTACTATTTATTAATAGTTAGTGTTGTAGTACTTAAAGGAGTAGTTCACTTTAAAAAAAAAAACTTTTGCTGATAATTTACTCATCCTCATGTTGTCCAAGATGTCCATGTCATTCTTTTTTCAGTCGAAAAGAAATTAAGGTTTTTGATGAAAACATCCCAGGATTTTTCTCCATATAATGGACTTCAGTGGGAACCAAACGGTTTAAGGTCCAAAAGACGGTTTCAGAGCAAATTGCAAACTGTTCAAAGGGCTTTAAACGATTCCAGATGATGAATAAGGGTCTTAATCAAATTAAACGATCAATCATTTCAAAAATAAATAAAAAAGTTTAAGTTTTATAAGGACAAATGCTCTTGCTCTGTTCTGTGATGCACGTTCGTGACTGTCGAGTCATTTTTTCGAGTCATTAGGTTCATTCAATGAACGAAATGAATGAATTGACTCGGAAAAAGATTCGTTCATTTTGATGAACGAGTTCGAACAGGAGAGTCACAAACGCGCATCACAGAACAGAGGAAGGTGAGCATTTGAGCTTATTAAACTTTTTTTTAATGAGCGATCGTTTTGCTTGATAAAACCCTTATTCATCGTCTGGAATCGTTTAAAGCACTTTTAAACAGTTTGCAGTTTGCAATGAAACAGTCTTTTGGACCTTGAACCTTTTGGTGCCCAGTAAAGTGCTTTTCTTTTCTTTTTCGACTGAATTTCTTTTCGACTGAAGAAAGAAAGACATGGACATCTTGGATGACATGGGGGTGAGTAAATTATCAGCAAAAGTTTTTTTAAAGTGAACTACTCCTTTAAGTTTAGATATTGGGTAGGATTAAGGGATGTAGAATAAGGTCATGCAGAATAAAGCATTAATATGTGCTTTATAAGTACTAACAAACAGCTAATACCATGCTAATATGCATGCTAATAAGCAACTAGTTAATAGAGAGAACTGAACCCTAAAATAAAGTGTAACCAAAATTACTATAGACCAAATTTTGAGAGATTTACTAAATTCAGACAATAAAACATTCTTTAAAATGTAAAACACTCTCTTTATGACAGATTGGGAACAAAAATGTTCCAAGAGAAAAACAGGTCAATCGAATTTGTAAAAATGAACTCTAAACTAGTTAGCGCATTTTTCCACATCATATCTCCATTAGAAATACAAATGGTTTGTACTGTAGGTAACGGCATACCAAGCAAAGCAACGGAGCATTGTTGCTATGGGGACACTAATGAATGGTTTAGCACTGACATTAGTTACATAACAGTGGGATTTCTTTCATTGTTACACAATTAATACATAATTTAACAATGCATCTTTCAGTGCAGGTCAACCAACTAAAACAGTCATTTCTTAGACCGTTTTAATGATTCTTTTGGAGACACATTTGAGAGGTGCAAGCTATTTTCAGACTAAATTTTATTATGAGGAGAAAAAGTAAAAACTGGAGCAACGGAGAACACATAAGCTTTATTCCAAAACCCAGTGAGCTGCCTACTTGGACTGCATAATCTGTCAAATTACAGCATCACAGGTGCTCTCAAGTGTAAGGCAGCACTGTATCATTCGCTGAAAAGTCAATAAAAATGTTAATTATAAATACAGTTATAGTACATCCTATATGAAAAGATAGAGTGAAAAATTGCTTGATTTAATTTTCTATGTTAACTATTTGTGTCATGTCATT